CCCCTTGACCACATGCCCTGAAGGGGTATATACATACTCAGTAGTTTGCTTGCAGTGAAAAACTGGGCTGCTTTTGGGACACAGCATGCCAGGGACATGTTGCAGCCTTTTCCTTTCAGATATGGTGTGAAGATTGGCTCCTCCACCAGCATAATGGGACCTAGCATCCCTGCACAGACGCAGGAGGTGCTCACCAGCCACCTGGCATCTTACAACATGTGGGCCTTACAAGGTATGCACTGAGGTTCCATGGGCCTGAGGGCAGGTGTGATACAAGTGATACCACCCCATTAGCTCAGCTCCAGGCTCACACCCTTCCAGCAGAAAGTAGGGTTTCTATTTTCCAACAGAAGCCTCAAGTTCTCATCTCCTTGGCCCGACCATCTGTGAAACAAGTCATTGGGTAGGAGTTTGGGGGAGATATACTGATTAGCAAGGATCAGGTCATGTTCTCACCCAGGGACGAGCAGAGGTGGGTCACCTCGAGGAAGGCCAGAAGAGTGGGCTAAACCCCAGGTGGGCCCTGGGTCGATCTCCCACTCCTGGCACCTTTGCCCCATTTACTCCTATTCTTATAAAAGGTGCAAGGACTCACAAGGAATTAGGCTGTAGCAACTGCCCTGTTTTGTATCCTGATGTGGTTTGTGTCCCTGCAGGGATTGAGTTTGTAGTGGCCCAACTCAAGTCCATGGTGCTGACCTTGGGTCTGATTGACCTACACCTGACTGTGGAGCAGGCTGTGCTGCTGTCACGCCTAGAGGAGGAATACCAGGTGAGGTGCCACATCTTGGGTCCCCATCTCACCCCTTCCTAATACACACCAACCTATGTGGGGTGTGGCCAACCTATCTGAATTTTTTTTTTCTACAGTAGAGGGGATTGAATCCACGGGTGCTTTCCTACTGAGCTACATCCCCAACCTGCTTCTTCCTCTTTTTTTTTTTTTTTTTTTTTTTGAGATAAGGTCTTGCTAAATTTCCCAGACTGGCCTTAAACTGCGATCCTCTTGCCTCAGCCTCCTGAGTAGCTGGGATTACAGGCATCTGAAATATTTTTATGTAAACCTGGGCTTTATTATTTTTATGTACATACAGAAATCAAAACTAAGGACCAATAAAAGCATTATTGGGGCTAGGTTTATGGCTCAGTGGTAGAGCACTTGCTTACCATGCTCAAGGCCCTGGATTCCATCCCCTACACCACAAGGAAAAAATGTGAAAAATGCTCAGCATTCCCCTCACATCCCCTTCTCATTAGTCTGATTAGGTGAAGGCTGTGCTTGGCTGTGCTTCTCTCATTCTACATATGGGGAAACTGAGGCACTAGGTCATACCTCTGGCAAATGTTCTAGTTGGGATTTGAACCCAGGACTGAGTGACTATAGGACCAAGGCCTCAGCTCTCACTCTGTGCCTGAGAGTTCATAGGCCTCATATGCCCTGTAGAGCAGGCCCTGTTGAAATGACTGAGGACCTGCTTGTGCTCTTAAGTCAGTGAAGCAATTACATCTTGACATTTCATCTGACCAACAAAGGAGCATGGGGGTAGCCACTGTTTGTACACAAGTTTTCATTTAATGGGCTCAGAATTAAGGTTTTGCTGTACTGTTGTATGCATTTTTTAACTGAAAATTATGTGGTCCTTGTAGTCGTTTTGTTCCTGATGATGTTATTCCTCAAACCTCAGGTTAATTGCTATTATGAATTGGTTCCTAGTGTGATAAAAACCTTTTTGGAATGTTTAGTTTTCTGCTCGGATAAATGCCAGAGACAAAGCCATTTCTGTATAGCAGAAAAGCCTACTCATTCTCTAGCTGTCAGAACCAATTTCATGGGAAAGGGGTGACCTGTAAGGGTTGTGGGGTTGCTGGGGAGCCAAAAACCTGGGTTCCTGTCTGGGCTCTGCTTTTGACCATGGGACCCATGCCAGCCTATCGTCCTGAATTTTGCAATCCTGCATAACCAGGATTATGGATTTGATGGTATAAATTGAAGGTAAAAATGCCCTTCAGCTACTATATTATAGTTGTGCAAATTGCGATTGGATAAGCCAGAAATGCAGATAGCTTGCGTTGAGTGGCAGATTCTGCCGGGAAGGAGCCAGCAGGCTCAGATTGGAGTCACATTGATGTCTGGACAGCCCCAGTGTGCCCAGAGTTTCCTCCCTCTTTTCAGAGTCCTGGAGAACATGTACAGAGCAGAGACCTCTGCAGTATAGTAGCTCTCCAGGAGTCAGAACTGAGGCTACATGTGGCCTTGCTTGATTGATTTATGCCACCCACATGGAGGATACTTGCAGCCCTGCATGGCAACACAGCTCATAGAAGATGACAGTTTGAGTGCTTGCCTAGCATGCATGAGGCCTTGGGCCTGGGTTTAATCTCCAGCATCACAGACCAAAAGAAGTAGGGGGGGGGGGAGTTGCAGGATGACAGTTGGCAGGCCACCTCACATAAACCTCCTAGTAGGAAGTGTGGGATAAGGGATAGTACACAGGTCAGGCTGCCTCTGCGGGACCTGTGTGGTCTGGTTTAGCCACTGGCCCTAGGACTGGATATACTACTCCCAGACCACCCACACCCCAGAGAGAACAGGGCCTGCCCTGGCCACCTGGGTGTTCTTTTGTCTCGGTACTGGGGACTAAACTGAGGAGCACTCTGCCACTGAGCTGTCTCCCCACCCCTTTATTCATTTTATTTTGCAATAGAGTCTCACTCTAAGTCGCCCACAATAGCCTTGATCTTGTGATCTTCCTGCCTAAGCCTCCAGAGTAGTTGGGATTACAGGTGTGCACCACCACACCTGGCTTACTGGGTGTTACTCCATGCATCCACTTGTTTTGGTAAGATTAGAGCCTGCTGCCTTCAGCCCAGAGATGGGATTGAAATGTGGCTTGGGTCAGCAGGCTACAGGTCTAGCCATTTACCCAGCCTTGTCTTGTCCTCCTCTCAGATCCAGAAATGGGGCAACATTGAGTGGGCCCATGATTACGAGCTGCAGGAACTGAGGGCCCGTACTGCTGCTGGCATCCTCTTCGTCCACCTCTGCTCCGAGAGCTCCACGGTCAAGCACAAGCTCCTGCAGGAGTGAGGCCTGGACTACTGGATGGAGCCTGCTGTGTTCACATTTCCCCAGCCTGGGACATCTCGGACCACACCTACAGGGCTCCCCTCACCTTTGGGGCTTAACCTTGCTCAGCATCACCCTGAGATGTCCCCGAGACACACAGTGATTGTCTGAAGGTCAGCCTGATTGCAACCTGGGGGGCCCCTGACCTAGCCAGCTGTGAGTGAGGGGGATGAATTGTACAAATGACTTTCTCTTGATCCTGAGTTTATTAAAGATTTCTTCACCCATTTTCATCTGCGTCTCTACATTTCTGCATTCTTGTTTTGTCACCAAGGTTGAACAGCTTATCTTCCATGGCACATTTTAATATCTGCTGCCCATGGTCAGGAGCTTCATGCTGGGGAAACAATCATGTCACCAACAGACAACTCTATTTGTGTCTTCAGTCCTCAGCCTAAAGGCTTTTTTCCCCCTCATTTTCATCAAACAGTCTTTTGAAAGTGAGTTCTTCTTGGTCTAAACTGGTTGTTTCCATTTTTTCCTACTGTTCTAGGGGGAAAAAAAAGATTTACTCTTGAAAATAGAAAGTATAGTGGTTTCTGGGTTAAAAGTCAGATGGTTCTGGCAAGGCCACCTGATATACACTGCTTTTAGTCTGGTTCTAGAATGTCCCCCAAAGGCCCGTGCTTTCCAGACTTGTTCCCCAGAGTGGCATTGTTGGGAGGTGGAACCTTAAGAGATGGGAACTAGAGAGAGGTGTTTAGGTCATTGTGGATGTGCCTTTGAGAGGGGTGTGGGACTCCAGCCCCTTCCTCTTCCTCTCTTGCTTTCTGGCCAGAGGTGAGCAGTTTTGTTCTACCTTGCACTCCTGTCACGATGTGCTGCCTCACCACAGGCTCCAAATCAATAAGGCCAACCAACCATGGACTGGACCCTCTGAAACTGTGAGCCAAAATAAACCTTTTCTATTTATAAATTGTTTATCTCAGCTATTTGTTATAGTTACAGAGAGCTGACTATGCACATTTCTGCTCATCTTCCACATGGTAGTCCTGAGTGTCCTCCAACACCGCCACCTCCATGGTCCTAGCAGGCCATGGAGTGGTAGCAGGTACCATTTCCTGGTACCAGGTTCAGTGGAAGAGCAGTAGGGAGAGTGTAGGCCTCATAGCAGACTCTGAGCTCCATGTCTTCACATGTTTATATAATAAAATGTCATTACCCCTGGTCACAGGGCATTGACCCCATGCTCCTCTATTTCACACACACACACTCTGAACCCCTCAACGATACTCCAAGGAGGTACTGTCACAGATGAAGGTCAGGCAGCAAAGGTGACGTCATAGGGCTAGGATGGCCAGCCTGCACCCTTAACTCCTGGAGGGTCATTGGGTCCCTATAGCCAAGCACTGAGCCATAGGGAGCCATGTCCTTTGCCTTGGAGGGCTGGCCCAGCCCCCAGCATTGTGGTGGGAACCTTGGCCTCCCTTGCCTCCCTGGTCCTCAGCACCCAAAGAGGGGAGGGCTATGTGCACATCTGCAGCCTGTTCTGGGTACCAATAAGGGAACAGCACTCAACAGACATCTGCTATTCTGTCACAATCATACCTCCAGCTAACCACTGGCCATCTTGGGACCTACTCTTATTGACTGGCCAGAGACTGCTATTCCCCCTCATCTTTTTTCTTGTTCACATATAGATGTGGATATTCTCTCTCTCTCTCTCTCTCTCTCTCTCTCTAAGAATAGGAGAAAGGTGACATAAATCCTTTAATTTTTCTCTGTATTCGGAACTTTTTCCACGGGTGGGGGAGGAGTAATGTCAAGAGGAGACTTGGGTTAGGAATTCCCAGTAACTCTCCCCAGACGGTTGGTAAATTGAGCCCGCTCCTCAGGTAGGGCTGTCGCGTATTTTGAAGAGGACCCCTGGCATCTAATCTACGATATCGACACATTCCAGGTTGTCCAGCTCGTTCTGCATGTGGTCAATGTATTGATTGATTTCTTTCACTCGCTTGCGGTTCCTCATGATCTCATCCTTGTGAATCTGGGGATAGAAATCAAAGCCCAGGGCCTTCAATCAGATAATTGGTTAATATCTTTTACTGAAGCGAGTTTGAGGGAAAGAAAAATTGTTCTTTGAAATCTCCATAGTTTCCATGCCTCATTTACTTCAGAGCCTCCTTGTGTTCAGCTGATCTCTCTATATTCGATGTAGGAGTTAGAGAAATGATGAAGCACGTGGGTTTGAAAGTCTCTGACCGAGCAACCCTAAGTTTTCACTGTGGAAATCTGTAATCCTTAACTATTTCTTTGTCCGTTTTGTTCCTCATAGAAAACAGTAAGATCCCCATTCGCTCTGGCTGGTAGCTAGAAAAGTTGGCCCAGCTTGCTAGGATGGGTTGGCATTTACTCACTTTGTCTACTAAGTGTGTACACCAAGAGTTGACCCTGGTCACCAGCTCATCTTCTCGATTGTCAATCTTCAGGAGGTGGATGTCATGCGATGCCCCAACAGCATTAACAACCGTGTCTTTGTCGATAAAAAGCTGGTGAGTGAGAAGGCCCAAATGAAACTGTGCATGTCATTATGTCCTAAATACAAAATGAGGGGGTTGAATAGAAAAGGGACCCCTGGGAATCTCCTGGCTGTGCAGGCCGCACCTGGTAGAGAACCTTACCTTTGTATCGGTGTGCTTTGTGCCTGCTCATTTCAGGTGGCAGCCACTTCCCTGACCAGGACAGTGGCAGGTGTTACTCTGCAATCCTCACTGGGAGCATGTTTTCTCCAGGGAGAAGGCAGATGGCTGCCCAGGGCAACCCCACTCAGGACATCTGTTCTCACAAAGCATCTCTCTCAGGGGTTTTCAAGTCTGACTTGCCCCAAACCCCTGGGAAGTATGAGGCTGGCCAGAGATCCTGAGGCTGCTCCAAGGACAGCAGGCCCTGCAAACCTGGGGCGTTCACCCCTTATTTGTCATTTCACTGCCTCTCGCGTCAATAAAAGCAAATCTTGGACACTATTTGGGGTCTCCTTCTGCCTTCTCTTGTTCCTGACCTTGTTCACTGCCTTGTAAAAAGTTGTTACAACCAACCATCCTCTAGAAGGCCTGGCTGGTCTTCGGTGTCAACAACTGTAGCTGTCTGTGCCTGGAGTGGTTGAAAATGGAGCGCAGAGCAGGGAGAAGGTTGCTGAAGCACTTAGTAAGCAGCTGCTTCCATTTTGAATCAGAGGTACTTTGTGATGCCAAGAATAGCAAAGGACCTCAATTTTTGTTATAGGGAGGGCTTCAGATGGAATGCATACAGGCAGAGTATCTCTTGTCTGAAATGTTTTACATTCTGTAATTATGGAGATTTGGGGAATATTTGCATAGAATTTTGAGATTCCTACTTGGAAAATCTGAAATCCGAAATGCTCCAAAACCCATTGTGGATTTTTGAATCAGGGATGCTCAACCTGTACTGGGTTTTTTGTTTCCTCTCACCACCACCACCACCACCATAGTAGCATTTAACATAATGGTCTCCAAACTATGTTTTGTGGAATTTTTTTTTTTTTTTTCTTTTTTGTACCCGAGAATGATTCCCCCCCCCCCTAATTACCTACTGAGCCACATCCGAGGCCCCCCCCCCCCTTTTTTTTAAATTTTGAGACAGGGTCTCACTACGTTGCTAAAGCTGACTTTGAATTTATGATTCTCCTGCCTCAGCCTCCCGGGCCACTGGGATTATAGGCATGTGCCGTCACTTCTGACTGTTCTGTGGAATCTTGAGCTATTAATATTTCTGCTCTTTGCAGGTATTTTTTGGTCAAACACAAATGAGAAAGCCAATACCTCTAGGCCCCAAATGAAGATTTTACAGGAGACAAAGTATCCTGAAGGCTCTGCAAAGGCCTGCAGAAAATAAACCATTTTAACTTTGTTTTTCTTGGTTTTCCTATTTATTTGACCACCAACCCCATTTCAGAATAATGTCTATGGGATGCAAGTTTTCTACAGAATCCCATGTGGGAAAAGCCAGGTTAGCTAATGTGGGGAAAGAGGTGACTGTGGGACCAGTTGGCATAGTCCCATGGGAGAAATGACTAGCGGTTATTAAGTTCTTACCCTGTTTGTACAAGGTCCTAGGCCAGACTCTGGGAAGGGCTCAGAGATGTGTAAAACTTGCCTACAATAAGCCTCCTCCGTCAGTGTGCTCAAGAGTTAGAGGCCAGGTATTTTAGAAATAGCAATAGCCATATCAACTCCTCATTAAAATTTTCTCACTCTAACATTCTAAAAAGTGAGTTGTAGTCGGGCTGGAGTTGGTAGCTCAGTGGTGGAGCGCTTGCCTTGCACATGTGAGGCACTGGGTTAGATCCTCAGCACCACATAAAAATAAATAAACAAAATAAAAATATTGTGTCTAGGGGCTAGGGATGTGGCTCAAGCGGTAGCGAGCTCGCCTGGCATGCGTGCGGCCCGGGTTCGATCCAAAGCACCACATACAAACAAAGATGTTGGGTCCGCTGAAAACTAAAAATATTAAAAAATTCTCTCTCTCTCCCTCTCTCACACACTCTCTCTTAAAAAAATATCGTGTCTATCTATAACAATAAAAAAATAAAAGTGAGTTATAATGGTTCTCTCTCTTTTTTTTTTTTTTTGGTGCTAAGGATTGGGATTGAACCCAGGGCCTCATATGTGCTAGGCAAGTGCTCTACCACTGAGCTACATCCCCAGTCTGAATTGTAGCTATTTTCTTCGGCCACACAGGAAAATAATCCTCCTGAGTTTGAACATATAGAAAATGGCTTTGGAGGCTCTGAGAAGCAAGAGAAATTGAAGTCTGCTTAGAAACATGAGTTAGAATTGGTGATCAAAAACTGGTGTGCCATTTGCAAAATGCAAACAGAAAGAATCTGGCTTAAAGAAATTCTTATGGCTTTTTCTTTTTGTTTTTGTTCTTGAGAAGGGGTCTACGTTGCCAAGGCTGACTTCAAACTCCTGGGCTCAAGCAATTCTTCTGCTTTGTCCTCCCAAGCAGTTGAAACTATAGATATGTACCAACGTGCTTAGCTGAGAGATTCTGTAGAAATTCAAATGGCAAGTTCTTTCTGGATTTGGGGTGGTCTAGGATGGTGGTCATTTCAGTTTTCTCTCTTGAAATAATTCTTATGGGCAGAATCTTTTATATTCCATTGGGTGTGGTGGCGCACACCTATAATCCCAGTGGCTTGGGAAGCTGAGACAGGAGGATCGCAAGTTCAAAGCCAGCCTCAGCAACTTAGTGAGTCCCTGAGCAACTCAGTGAGACTCTGTCTCAAAATAAAATATAAAAAATGGTTGGGGAGGGGCTGGGGCTATAGCTCAGTGACAGAGCACTTAGCTAGCACAGGTGAGGCACTGGGTTCAAGCCTCAGGACCACATAAGAATAAATAAAAAGGCATACTGTCCATCTACAACTACAAAAAAATTGAAAAAAAAAAAAAAAAGGCTGGGGATGTGGCTCAGTGGTTGAGTGCCCCTGGGTTCTATCCCTGGTACAAAATAGAAAGAAAGAAGGAGAGAAAGAAAGAAAGAAAAAAGAAAAGAATATTCTGTATTCCCCTCCAGTTTCTGCAGGAGTAGAGGCAGGGGCTGTGCAAACCCCATGAGGAACAACAGCTCTCTGAGCTGTCCCCCCCCAAAACCATTCTGTGTACCTTGCTGGGCTTCACAGAGGTGGCCCCAGGAGCTATAAAGACACGTTTCTTTCAAAGTGATTTCTTTTCTTTTTTTAAACACCTTTATTTTTATTTATTTTTATGTGGTGCTGAGGACTGAACCCAGGTCCTCACACGTTCTAAGAAAGCGCCCTACCGCTGAGCCACAACCCCAGCCCCTCGAAGTGATTTCTTGAAGAGGACTTTAAAAAAGGCACAGGTGGTGCCCCTCCCCAGGATCACTGTGGTGCTGGTAGCTTAAGGATTTGCTGCCCCAGCTGTGTGGGATCAGATCATCCTGTCATACTGGTGACACAGACAAGGAGCAGCCCTTGGCTGGAATCTCATCACAGCCACCCTACCTACAGACTGCAGGCCTGGGTCAGGCCCACTGTCCCTAGAGCAGATGCTGGGGACTTGAAAGTTCTCCCCATGGCCATGGTCTGAGCACTTGTCCTGCCAGGTAGTGCATCTGACATTCTTCTACCCTTCAAATAGGCATCTGTGTCTGCCAGAACCACTCTGAGGCCATTGCTTACTGCCAGCCCTAGGCTCTCTCAGCACTTATGTTCTGCTTTTCCTGTCCAAGCTGGAAAGGACTTAAACATACAGGCGTGTGACATGTTGGGGCCCACGTATGGCCGGAGCTGATAATAATTACCAAACTGAATGAGAAGAGTTTTAGAGATAACTCCATCAGTGTGACTTTATCATGATCCACTCATTGATCATCAAGTAACAGCAGTCAGATTTTTTTACCCAAGACCCTATTCCTTCCTTTGAACACTTCCCTCAGGCTCAGTAGATATTTTGTCAAAGTCTTTGAGTCAAAATGCCTGAGTTTAATATCATAGTTCTACTGCTTGGACAGTTTGCTTTAATTTCTGAGCCTCAATTTCCTTATCTGTTTTTTTTTTTTTAATATTTATTTTTTAGGTGTAGATGGACACAACACAATGCCTTTATTTTTATGTGGTGCTGAGGATCGAACCCAGGTCCCGCCCGTGCTAGGCGAGCACTCTACCGTTGAGCCACAATCCCAGCCCCACTCATCTGTTTGTTTTTTTATATTTATTTTTTACTTATAGGTAGACACATATCTTTATTTTATTTTATTTTTTTATGTGGTGCTGAGGATCGAACCCCGGGCCTCACGCATGCTAGGTGAGCACTCTACCTCTGAGCCACAATCCCAGCCCCCAATTTCCTCATCTATAAAACGAGAACCATAATGGTATCTATTTTACCATGGTAATGAGATTAAAAGAGCAGTTGGTGCCCAGTGATTCTCAAAGGGAGGCCCACTGTAAATGTCAGCTACTGGTTGTGATTATCACTTACAGTCTAGGGCACACTGTTGCCCCAAGAACAAGCAGCCACATTTTGTTGCCTACCTGGAAGGAATCTTAGGCAATAGCCCTGTTGTAACTGCAGACATTCCCAAGAGGACAGTCTCACACTGGTTGTCCCTTATGAGGCCTTGAGGAGAGTTCTCCACAACGGCCCTGCCAGTGAGCCCAAGCAACCCCTTAGCTCAGAGGCAGAACCCTGTGGCCAAGTGCCTGGAGCCGTGGAAGTCTCAGAATGTCTGCCATCTTGTATCTACAGTGAGGGGCACAGCATTGGCTCTATAGTAATGGTCTGGGCTCTGCATCTGTCAGACCAGAGTCTGAATCCAGTCTCCAGTCCTCATAGGCTGTACCACTTGGACAGATCTTACCCAGTTTTGTCCTTTGTATCCTGGGAATGATTATGGCCCCTCCTTTGTGGAGTCTTTGGTGAAGTAAAGGAGATTTGTGACCATCAAGCCTAGACAGTGGCAAGCCCCCAGTGAGGGAACTCTTGTGTCACTAGTCACTACAGTTAGCTGGGGCTTAGTCAGCAGGTTCTCGGTTTGGGTAGCAATAGGGAATAGGTGTCAGGTGGCATTAGGCAGGGCCAGCTGGGTAGCAGGGAAGGTTGACCACTAGCATTAGTACAGCCTGCTTCTCTGCTATTGACCTCCAGGGTCCTTCTTTCACCATGTGTCCCAGGCACGGGAGAGTGAGCACACTGCAGTCCTATATCCACTGAGTATCCCAGACCTGAGACTGGGACGCCACCATGAGGATCTGTCTGGGGTGTTTGAGGATGGGCTCCCTCAGGGGAGATTACTTTCTGGCTTGGGGAAGATGGCACTTTTCTGTGACTGGTCCACAATTAGCCACATTTGTGGCATAGAGAGGAAAGGCTGATGTCAAGTGGTCCTGCTGTGGTAGGTGTTTGTTTTGGCCCCGGAACAGAGGCTGTGGATGTCAGGACTGCCAGTCGTCACCCAGCACCTGATGGAGCAGAGGCTAGGTGAACACAGGCTTTCACCCACTCATCCCTCTGGCAATTCCTGGTATCTACAATGGACAGTTTACATTGTTGCTGGCACTGGAATGCACATGGTGGTGAAAAGGCCATCCCTGTCCCCACTCCCAGGAGCTTATATAAATGTGAATAGTCACATAAGAAAATCAACACAAACCAGAGAGTTTGGAACTGTGATAAGTCTCTGCCCTGATAAGACAATGAGGTGCCTGATAGACAACAGGTTCTTAAGAAGGTGATAAGGGAAGGCCTCTCAAAGGAGCTGACATTTGAGCTGAGATCTGAATAACAAGGACTAGCCAGGTATATGGAGACCTAAGGAAAGAACACATCTGCCAGATGGAGTATCATCTGAAAGGAGCAAGCCTGGGAGACTGGGGAACAGCTCAGAGGCTGGGACACCCGGCATCAGGAGTTTCAGGGTGGTGTGGGGGGATACTGCTGAATTAGGCAGGCCTAGTCCTGAGGCATGGGTGACTATGGGGAGGAACTAATCCTAAGAGTTATGGGGAGCCATAGGGGAGGGGGCTTGTGCAAAAGAGCAAAATGATGTGGTTTGGATTTTCAAAGTCTCCCTTTGTGTATGGAGAGCAGCCCATAAGAGAACAGCGAGGCCATGTGCACAGTAATGCTGGGGTATAATCCTAGCTACTTGGGAGGCTGAGGCCAGCCTTAGGGAGGCGCAGCCTCAATTTTTTTTAAAAAAAGGAAAAAGTGCTGGCGGTATAGATCAACTATGGAGGGCTTGCCCAGCATGCACAAGGCCCTGGTGTGCGCGCGCAGGCACACACACACACACACACACACACACACAGGAAACAAGCAAGCCGAGCAAGGAGGCTATTGGGCCAGGTAACGGATAGCAGTGGTTTGGCTTATGGTAACATGGTGATGAAAAGAAAACAAGGGAATGGCAGTGGAATGAACAAGCATTAGAAAAAACAAGCCCTTGATAAGAAAGTGTTTGGATCTGGGCCCTATCCACCCCGCTTCCCGGAGGTCCACCCATGGTGGACATGCTGGTGGGAACTGGGGCTGCATCACCCTTTGGGGGGTGATTCCCACATCCCAGTAGTTTTCATAAACAGATACGTTCGGCTGGAAATCTCAGTTCTTAACTTCTATTTGTAACTGCCTCTCTGAGAAAGCGCCAGAAGCCCCTACAGAATTGAACTTTCAGAAACCAAACTGTTGGAAAGTTGAAACCACCTAATCGTCAGGAACTCCTCTTTAATGGGCCCTACTGAGTGCTTTATTTGGTAAACCTATTTCATCCACCAACAACCCTGCAAAGTGGATTACTGCCTCCCTTTATAGATAGGGAAACTGAGGCTCCGGGAGGTTGTCGAGTTTACCCGAGGCACCAAGCGGAGTTGGAAGGCTGTCTGGTTTCCACGCCCATTGCTCCCAGCCCCGCCCCGAGCGCTCTGCCCCGCCCCCCCCGCTCACCCCCCCCCCCCCTGCCCAGCCCCACCCAGAGCACCCAGCCCCGCCCAGAGCGCCCAGCCCCGCTCTCCGTGCTCACCGAGCGCACATCCTCAGGGAGGTCGTCGTCTATCTCACCCTTAGCAGTCTTCTCTAGGGTGTTGATGGCGATTTCCAGGAGTTTCTCATGGTGGTGATTTTCAAGGTCCCGGCACTGAGCCATAGTGCAACCGTGAGTTAAGCAAAGCCAGGTTTGGGGCAGGACGGGCACTTTCCTGACCTGTGGCTGAACTTCTGTCAAGCAAAAGTCCATCTCATCTCAACTAGAGGAGAGCAGACTTTAAGGCTCAAGGCAAACTCTTGAGATGTCAGGAAGCATTATCATCTTCACAGATGTCACCCACGCGTACCAAACCCCAGGCCACTCCCCAATTCCCCCACTCTTTTTTTTCTTTTCCTCTTTTTTTTATTTTCTTTTTTGCACCAGGGATTGAACCTAGGAGTGTTTAACCCCTGAACATCCTCAGCCTCCTGAGCCACTGGGATTACAGGCATGCACTGCCACTCCTAGCTAATCTCTCATTCTTGCCCCTTCTTCTCATAGCAGCCATAGTGAGCTTAAGGACAAGGGTAGCCAGGACCCATCTGTCCCCTGCTTAAAGTGCCTGGGAACTTCCAGTTTTCTGACATGGCCTGAAGAACCAAGCTCCTCTGGCCCACCCTCAGGACCTTCGTGCATGCTACCTTCTCTACCTGTATACTCTCCCCTACCCTTTCTCCTGGTCCCTTTGGCCACTTAGTAAGAGCCTTAGTGGACCCTCTCTCATGGAGGCACTTGGTCCTGGCCTCCAAGTTGGCTGCTACTCACCTGTGCATTGGGTACCACTTGTTACTGCCATAACTTCTGTCCACTTGCTGGATCTGAGCCCCAAGAGGACAGAACCAGGGCTTGCATACAGTTTGCCATCCGCGCCCCCCCTAGTGTAACAGGGCCCTTAGTTCAGGTAGCTGAAGGGTTGACATGCTCCATATGTCAATTTCTGACCCTAACATTCAACCTGAGAAACACAATGTAAGTAATTGGTGTCTTCAATGTAGATGTTACTTAAGCCCCAGAGTGTGTTAGGCTGCAACACAGGAGCAGATGGTGATTTTGGGGTGTCATCTTCCCATGAACATCACCCACCTTGAGAAAAAACAGGCAAGGACTCTATTGTACGGCAGTCACTCTGGGCATCTGAATGTCACTCTAACAAGACTACTGTTGTCCTAAAGGTTGGGAAACCACCTTGGACCCTAAAGAACATTCTTTTGAACATTTTATGTGGTTCTAAGCCTTCATCCTTTGAAGCTTTTTTGTTGGTGGAAAACTGAATGTTTTACATTCCTCTAATTTCAAAGGTGGAGATCCCCATTAAATAGAATCCTATAGTGAATTTAAATATCCTCTTGGTGGAGGTGTAGATCTTTCTCCAAATCAAATGGCAAATAGGTATTTCCAGTAAAAAGTGAAATATGATGTGGAGTGCTAACTTCTTACTACCTCTGCCAACCTGTTTAGGGCACAGGGGGCAGTGGGAGGGGCAGTGGTGATCTGCAGATGGCCATCTGGAAGAGAAACCCACTTATTTGCATCTTGCTTAAGATTCTGAAGAAGGCTTACCCTGACTTACTTTTTTTTTTTAATATTTATTTTCTAGTTTTAGGCAGACACAACATCTTTGTTTGTATGTGGTGCTGAGAATTGAACCTGGGCCGCACGCATGCCAGGCGAGCGTGCTACCACTTGAGCCACATCCCCAGCCCCTTCCTTACCTTTTGTTAGAACTGCAGACACCTTTTCCCTATCTCCCCAAGAAGCCAGGACATCCCTAGGAACTATGTAGTATCTTCCTGTGGAGGTGTCATCACAAAAAGGATATAAGCCTTGGACATTTTCGATAAAGAGTCCCACCAAGTCAATGATGTTCCTTTCAAACATGTTTATGGTCTCCTGGAAAGGATAAAGTTAACTTGTATATTTAGATACTTTGCATCAGAGCAAAAGGTGGTGCTCAGAACTTAGCAGGTGCTTCCTTTAATCACATATCTTTAGGGGTGGACACTATCCACCTTGACCTCCCTGGGAAGATGGTTGAGAAATGACCTTTCCTCTCTCCAGAGCTTTGTTACTCTCCACTATCAACAAACTCCCCACTTTAAAGGTTAAATGCTCTCTTGGGCTTTGTCTGTTGGTCCCTCTGCCAGAAACACCTGTCCTGGTCTTATTCCTCTTACCCCCACTATCTCCACAGACTAACACCCTTATTTAGGGTTTCTCAATGTCATCTATCAACTTCCAAAGAAACAGTGAGGGAGCTATAAAGAGTCAGCCTGCCTGTATCAGCATCCCAGCCCCACCCTTGTGTATTACTCTGGGAAAGTCACCTAATCTTCTGGGCCTCTCCTTCCTCATCTGTGAAATGGGTTTCCTGGCTGGTGCCTGTCTCCTGGAATTGGGGTGGGGTTAAATGAGCTGCTTTGCACAAAATACTTTGCAAGGTGCCTGACAGAGAGGAGACCCTCAGGGAGTGTTAGCTGTTACTGTTAGTTGCTATTTCCTGGTGCTTAGCAAAGCACCTGTGGCCTAAATGGAAGTTAGTGTTATGAAGGGAATAATGGAAGATGCAATTGTGAGGCCTGTTGCTCTGGGAGCCCCCTGCCCTGATCTGCCACACTCCGAGGGCTGCAAGGTAGGCTAGGGGTACAGGGTATCTACAGGAAGCCAAGGACTGCCTGCAGGCCCAGCAAATGAGACATTTTCCAAATGTGTGTATGAGTGCTGCTGTGGTGAATAAAAATAGGGTCATTGAAAAGCATGAGTGTCCTCCCCGCCTTTTGGTCACTGGTAATACACGTAGGACAGTGCACGGTTCTGGGAAACGTTTGGATGTTGAAAAGCGATCTCCCTGCTTGAAAAGGTCGTGGGCTGCTGGCGGGCCCTCCCCTGGCGCTGCGTGTTCCTTCTGCAGTGCTTGAGCATTTCCCAGCGGGGAGCGAGTGGCTGCTGCGGGATGTGATGGCGAAATCTATCTCATGTCTGAGGTGTCACTTGACGTGTGAGGAATTGATTAGGCGCTATCTCTTGGCCCAGCCACGGCAGCATCAGATGAGGTTCAATTCATCACACCACTTCCGATTCCCGGCCTCTGCTGCCAGCGAACACACAAGTCACCCTGGCTGCTAATGAATTTTAGACAGCAGCGCTTTTCATTTCCACATCTTGCTACTGAGTTGCAGGCTCCTCGCATCGCCAGGGAGACAGCAACCACAGGCTGCGATGCGGAGGCGCCTTTGTTTGGTCCTGGAGTGGGGGTTTACTTTGTCTTGCAAGCCCTGGGACTGCTTTTGGGTCTAATAAAAAAACCTCTCTCTGCTGAGGCTTTGGGCTCTTTCAGAAGGAGAGGAACATTCCAGAGGAATGAGCTCACCTCTCATTCTCCACAAGAGCCACTTACCATCTAAATTATTAAAAAAATATATAAAAGCAGGGGCTGGGGGTGCGACTTAGTGGCAAAGTGCTTGCATGAAGCCCTGGGTTCCATCCCCGGTGAGGGGGTGGGGAGGCCAGGGGGAACACAGGAATGATGAGCAAGAAGGCTTCAGTGTGACACTCTAGATCACACTGGACCTTTCCAACACGTATGGAGGCTGCAGCTCATGGAGCGGTTTCTCAGCTGAGCCACCAGTTTCTTGCATCTGCACCCAGGCCCAACCTCACCTCCAGCTGCTCTACCAGCTGCATCTCCAGTGTCATGAGCACGTTGAATAGCTCAGTGATATCCTCACTGCACTCCATTATCTTCTTCTCAATGTTGAGCAGATCAGATTCTTCTCGGATGCTATTTAAATTCTGGAAACAAAAGCCTGTGCTTTAGGAATCAACAGTTAAGCATAATTAGTTGATGGCAAGTGGCAATTTGGTTTTGCCTAAAGTTCAAGTCTCACTTCTGTCATTTGCCAGTTCTGGGAGCTTGTGACGTTAGCATATTATTTTGAGTGAAAGGTGCTTTAGAAACCTGGCATGGTGGCACACACCTATAATCCCAGCTACTTGGAAGTCTGAGGCAGGAAAATTGCAAGTTCAAGGCCAGCATGGGCAACTGAGTGAGATCCTGTCCCAAAGTAAAAAATTTAAAAAGGGCCGGGGTATAATTCAGTAGTAGAGCACCGCTGAATCCTGGATCCAACCCAGTGCTGGGGGTAGGTGCTTGAAATATAGTAGATGCAAGAAGGGAATGCTGACCCTTCTTCCCTAAAAGCAGGAGATTAAAATCCCACAAGAATGGTGCCCTTCCTGTACCAGAAGAAGGGAAGACATTCTTATCACTAAAGATGGGGAGTAAAGGCCAAGGGAAATCCATGCCATTGAACCTTGTTAAACTATCCCTTGTCTGCTTAGTTGCTTCTCTACCATAGCCTAGCCTAACCCTTTTATCTTGTCATGTATATATACACACACACACATTTTTTTTTGGTACTGGGGATCGAACCCAGGGCCTTGCGCATGCAAGGCAAGCACTCTACCAACTGAGCTATATCCCCAGCCCAATCTTGTCATATTTTCACAATTTTTTCCCATTTAGTATAGTCATATGCTATATAATGACATTTTGGTCAATGATGTGTCACATACATGACAGTGGTCCCATAGATTATGAGGGAGCTGAAAAATTCCTATCACTCAGTGACGTCATAGCAGTCTTAATTTCACAATAATGAAATCACCAAGTGTCTTTTCTCAGAATGGACCCCACTATTAAGTGATATGTGACTATGTATTAACCCTATAGCCCTAAATGCTGCTTTGGAGCTTTTCTTGGAGTGCTCCCATGTACCAGTGAATTACTAAATAAAATTTGTAGGTTGAGAATTTAGCTCAAGAGTAGACCACTTGCCTAGCATGCATAAGGTTCTGGGTTCCAGCACTGCAAAAAAAGTATGCTTTTCCTCCTTAATCTGTTGTAAGTCAATTTCATTCTTGGTTCTAGTTGAACACACTAAGGCTAAGTGTGAAATTGTACCTGCCCTTTAGGGTCAGGTGAGCCTGAATTTGAGTCCTGGATCACTTATTAGCAAGAGAGAGCTACTTTTGTTCTCTAAGCTTTAGTTTCCTCCCTGTTAGTGGAGAGAAGAATCTGAACTTCACAAAGTCCCAGGAAACAGAGGCTTTATACATGAGGCACCTGAAAACAAGTGGGGGTTTGATTTACAGAGGCTCTGATAAAATGACTATAATAGATGAGAGTCAGGAAAGACACTGGGAAAAAAGTGTCTTAGTCCATTTTGTATATCTGTAGCAAAATACCTGATGCTGGATAAGGTATAAAGAAAAGAGGTTTAGGGTTGGGAATTAGCTCAGTGGTGAGTGCTTGCCTATCATGCATGAAGCCCTGGGTTGAGTCCCAACATTGCCAAAAAAAAAAAAAAGTCTTTTAGTTCACAGTTTTAGAGGCTGAAAGTGCAAGATTGGGTGACCCTATCTATTCGACCTCTCATGAGGCCTTTTGGCTGCATGACATCATGGTGGATAGCATTACATAGCATGAGTGCATGCAAGACTGGCAAGTGACAAAAGTGCAGAAGAGGTCACAAGGAAAAGCAGGTGCAAGAGCGTGAGCTGGGAAGCACAGCTTGCTTTATAATGACCTGCCTCTCAAGGTACCTACTCCATCCCATGTGAGTGAGAAAAGCATTAATCCCTCCTATTGAACTAATCAGTTCTTAAAGACACCACCTCCCAACACCATGCCTCAATATGAACTGCAGCACCGACAGACTACATTCAAACCAGAGCAGAAAGACAGTTCCAGTCTTTGAGGGAATCAGTGGGACCCACATAGAATCCCAGGGAGTAAATGGAAGCCAGTGGTAAAATGCTGAACCATTTGGAATGAGACTGTGCTTAGGAGCTGGAGAGCAGCCCTGGGGCCAGCACAGCCCCTGAACACCAGCTGCGCACCACCAAAGGATCTGGGGACACGAACAATGTCAGTTTGTTTTTGTCAATACTTGGTATTAGTCATGATGAAAGATGAAGTAAATGGGGTAAAGGGGTGTGATTCAGTGGGATGCAGGACACTGATGATAGCTTCCCATCTGGAGAGAAGCCAGGCTCCATCCCTGCCTCATTTGCATTAAGACAAATTCCCAATGGAGTGAAGATGGAAATGTGAAAAGTAAAACCAAAAAAAGCACTAGAAGAAAACATGGGAGATTTTTAATAAAAAATCTCAGAGTGGAGAAGTTCTCTCCAGGTACAACCTGAAAAAAGATTGATAAATTCTACTACATTAAAAAAAAAATTCATGGGCCAGGGTACAGCTCAGTAGGTGCTGCTCATACCCACTTAAGAGAAATAAGCAGGGTGCACCAGGTTGACAAAGCTTGTGGTATTGGCTGTCAGCCTTGGAAGGAACAGGCTCTGTGGTGCATTTGGGCAGAAACCACTAAAAGACCCAATGCATAGTTGCATTTTTAGGATTTCATTCTAAAGGTCAGATTTGCACCAATTTATTCATAGCAACACTGTTTCAAAGAGCAAAATGTTGGGGAAAACTTAATTGTCCATTATCAATTATTAAGCTGGCTAATTCCAGCTCATTTAGGCGTTGAGATATCTTATACCCATTTAGAAAATGAGGCAAATTATTCAGTCCTAGTAGACTCTCTGAAATGGATAGTCTAGCAAAGTGCATAACAGTGCATGCTATGTTTTCATGTCACACCACACACACACACACACACACACACACACACACACAGGAGACTGGACCCTCTGGTGGATAATTTCCATTTTCTGCCATGTGCACGTATCACCTTTTCAAAAGTGAATCTGATGACACAAGGACCTGCCTGGTCATTATTTCATGCTGACTTTGCTTACACGAGGGCTTTCTCTCTGTCTTGATGGATTCTCATTGCAGTTCTTGTTATTTTATTCTATTTTATTTGTGGTACTGGGAATTGAAACCAGGAGTGTTCAATACTAATCTACATCCCCAGCCCTTTTTATTTATTTTAAATTTTGAGACAGGGTCTTGCTAAATTGCTGAGGCTGGCCATAAACTTGTAATCCTCCTGCCTCAGCCTCCTGAGTAGCTGGAATTATAGGTGTGCACCATTGTGCCCAGCTCCCCCTACATTTCTGTGAGGGATTATCTCCATTTCACAATTAAGATATGTATGCTAGTAGCTGGTCAATGATATTTCTCTGGGTCACCAGTGAGGGGTCTATATGAGCCCCAAGCCTTAACTGATTGCACTGTGACCTCAAGATGTACTCTGCTGGGTGCTATGTATGATGAGGAAGCTGGAGAAGAGCAGGACAAAGCTATAGGAGGGGACCTATGAGGGGAGGGGAAGCTGAGGCCCTCAGGGACCATGGGATCTTGGGAACTTCCAAGTCAGTGACCTCAATTTGGGTTGAGCATTGGAAGCATGTGGGGAGTTCTGGAAAAGCCCAGTGCTGGGCCAAATACCTAACTGGGTGCACCTGGGCCCAGCTATCAGCTTGTTTCCAGGCCCTGTGAGCTCTGATGTGCAGACTGGATGAGAATCACTGCTCTTGACTCTAAGAAGAGCACTCAGGGGGCTAGGGTTGTGGCTCAGCGGTAGAGTGCTCTCCTAGCACGTGCGAGGCCCTGGATTCGATTCTCAGCACCACATATAAATAAATAAATAAACAAATAAAATATAGGCATTGTAATCCAACTAAATTTTTTTAAAAATTATATATATATATATATATATATTTTTTTTTTTCCAGCTTAGTTGGCCTTTGAGGAGCCAGACAGTGAGGGGCATATTCTGAGTCAGGCTCGGCTGGGCCCATGGGCCCATGTCCAAAGAGACTAATTGTTAAGAGGGTCAGGAACCCCTGGTTTTAGGAAGAGCTACTAGTTGATGTCCCAAACCTAGTGGCTATAGGGGCCGGGTAGGAAATGTTAGTGGTACACACCTATAATATCAACCACTTTGGAGGCTGAGGCTGAGGCAGGAGGATCATAAATTCAAGGTTTGGGATTATAGCTCAGTGGTAGAGTGCCCCTGGGTTCAATTCCCAGTATCACGGGAGGGAGGGAGGAGGGAGGGAGGGAGGAGGTAGAGAGGGAGGGGGGAGGGAGGAGGGAGGGAGGGAGAGAAAGAGAGAGAAATGTCAGAAGCGGCTGAATGACTAGGGGAACTGAAGCATGACCTGGCCAGTCCAAAGAGGACAACCCTGATGGTAACTGCCTCCAAAGAAGCTGGCAGCTATGATTTTCCTGGCAAGTCTTCACATTTCCAATGTCAGGATGCTTAAAATGGTTTGCAACCTCTTCAGGCCAAATAAAACACATATGTGAGCCAAATGTGTCCCCCTGCTGGCAGTTTTGAATTTCTGGTTGAATGCAGTGACACCCCCCTCCTTAGAACATAAAAAGAAGGGTCTTGAAAATTCACTCAGAACACGAGGCCCCATATGAGAGGCTTATGAGGTAAGAAGCGGGTTGGGGTAGCCGAGGGTTGGGAAGCATATGGGAGTCAGTTGCCACCTCCATTGTATCTGAACTGGCATTATTGGGGGACTTTGTTCTACTTTAAACTAAGTTCTCAGCCAGGAGTGACTTTATGGGCTCCTTGAAACCTCTGAAGTTGTAGGTAAACCTGCAGTTTTTCAAGGAGAGAGGTCCATAGCATTCCTTAGAGTCGCATGGAGATCTGTGACTTAGAAGAAGTTAATAATACTGTCTTTAAAAATGATGCTGTCTGGGACTGGGGTTGTGGCTCAGCAGTACAGTGCTTGCCCAGCACGTGCAAGGCCCTGGGTTTGATCCTCAGTACCACATAAAAATAAATAAAGGTATTGTGTCCAACTACAACAAAAAAATAAATATTTTAAAAAAAATGATGCTGTCTGTGCTGGGCACTCAGTGTGCTTGTAGTTCCAGCTGCTCAAGAGGCAGGAAAAGGATGGTTTGATCCCAGGCGTTCAAGGGCAGCACAGCAACACACCATCTCAAATAATGACAATAACAATAATTTGAAAAATCGATTGCCATCAAGTACAAATCATGGTCTCTGCTTGGCTCTGCTTGGGCAAGGTCCTAAACACCAGGGCTGCTTCTTTGCTGATCCTCTGGGTGGGACAATTTTTCTCTACCATGCCTGGCCAACTCTTTCTTTGTCCCATTAAACCCCAGCCTTCCCTAGGTTCTTCAGCCTGAGTTAAGGGGCATCCAGGGAATCCCCAAGGCTCCCTGCCTGCCCTCTGGGAGAACACTGACCACTTGGTTCACTCAGGGGAGAGGGCCTGGGACCTAGTCTGCACATATTAGCAGGTAACAGCTCACCAAGGACAGGAACCACATACATCATGGCTGAGCATCACAGGACCAGGCACAGGTGGGGCTTAGCACAGTTCTGCTAAATGAATGAATGACCTGAAGACTGTCATAGTCATCATAGTAGTGGTACAAATAATCATTATAAAACTAATGATGAGATGGTGGGAGTGGGGATGACCTACTGCTCTGTTGTCAAGCAGCAGGGAGCTAAGGCTGGTGGTAAGGGGGTGAGGCTGGACCTTGACTCTGCCACTTAGCTGCAATATGATCCCCAGCACATGTAAGAGTGAACATGACCTTAGAGGCTGTCAGAGTGCACAGGAGTTGCAGACTGTCTACAGCAGGAGGGGCTTGAGGCACTCAGAGCAGGAGGTTGGGGAGGACCTACCATGAAGTGCTTCTCCTCGAACTTGGCAATCTTGAGTCTGCCCTCCTCCTGGTTTTCTTGGATGGCCTCCTGGATGCACTCATTGAAGGTGTCCAGCTCTATTTTCCGCTTCTCCTGCTGTTTCAGGCCATACTCAAAAATGTTCACACAGATGATGACAAATTTGTCTTTATATGTGAGTGGCTGTTAAGGAAGCTCGAGATAGTCTTGGAAGCAGGCATGACAAAGGTGTTGGCCCCTCTCAGCACAGAGCATAGACTGCGCTGAACACTGTGCTCAGGACTCAAACCCAAGGCTGCATGTGACCCCTTTGACAGATGAAGAAAATGAGGGCCCAGGGAGCCAGGATTGGAGGTCTGGAGCATAAGATGGTAGTTGGGGCATCTCTACTATCAACTGGAGGAATTCAACAAAGGGGCTAAAAGGTCCCAGAAGAGATTCCTGAGGGCCAGGTGGGGCCAGCCCTAACTGGGAAATAGGCAGTGTGTGCCTTTGTTTCTGGTGTGTTATCCAGAAGAGCACTTTTGGTGAGGACCTAAATGCTCCTGAGGGAGGATCATGTGGTCAAAGCATCCCATCCAGGTTCAGGGACCACACTGGTATGTCAATTCACCCTTCTCGGTCTCACAGTCCTCATCTACAGCTAAGGGCAAAATAGGACCTGCCACATGGAATCCTTGGGAGGAATCCTTGAGGTCAGGCAGTTGAAGCCCACAGGATCTTGGGTGATCCTGTGGGGATGGAAACTGATGTTTGGGAGATATTTGCCCAGTCACATAGCCACACAGAGCTACAACCAAGAGGTAAACCCAGGTCACCTGGGGTGGAGTGGGGTAGGGGTAGCAGGGGCCCCCTCTGTCTGGCTCTTCCCTGACCCACGTCATTCTTTTCAGAATATCTGGATTTGAATGAATTCATATCCAATACGAAAATTGTCAAAATTCAAAATAGAGCCACATGTGTCAAACCCTGGCCAAACCACAAAGCGAGGGCTCTCGTGCACAATTTCCCTTGTAACAGGAACTATCACAAGAACAAGTTCGCTGCAAAAGGACATCTAGTCATTTAACAAGGACAGGTAACTTCCAGGCACAGTGGTGCTTGCTTGTAATCCCAGCAACTGGGGAGGCTGAGGAAGGAGGATTGCAAGTTTGAGGCCAGCCTCAGCAACTTAGCAAAGCCCTTGGCAATTTAGCAAGACAAGACTATGTCTCAAAATAAAACTAAAAAATTAAAAAAGGTCACACGTGTGACTCGGTGGCTAAGTGCCCCTGGGTTCAATTCACAGTACCAAAAAAAAAAAAAAAAAAAAACAATCCAAAGCGAAACAGACTGCTATGACTTTCAGACAAGTTTTAGCCAGTAACTGCTGGCACCAATGAATGTTTACAACTTAATAGCTTTTCTCTTTTCCAGTAAAACTTTAGCCTTTCCTTTGTTCTCCAGATGTACCCCTGACCACTCTGGTCTGCACATGTTCCAAACCACAGTTTGGAAACTGTTATTCCCAAATAACTGTAATTTTATTGGATATTCATCTCTATATTTTCCTGGATGTTCATATCAGTGATGACGGCTCCATAGACTTATCTGAGACTTTTCATCTCAATGCCTGTCCCATCTAAGAATGCTTCAAGTCTACCCTAAGTCCCTCAGTTTAGGGAATAAGCCCGTGGTTTGATCTTCATGGTCACCTACTGACCACACCCTCTGGACTCCAGTTGACTGGGGGAAGAAGGCAGGTTCTCAGGCCCCACAGACAACAGTTCAAATCATGGCTTCTAATGGAGTGACCTTGGACAAGCCACTTCCCTCTCCAAGTGTAGCTTCCCTGACTGTAAAATGGGGTTAGCAATGGCAACCATGTAGTGGAATGCATGAAGACATTTAAAATACCAGGTCCAGATGCACAGCAGGACAACCAGGCTGCATCTCCCTCAGGCAGCTCAGCTGACCTGGCCCCTTGGGTACACTGTGTTAAGGGGCAATTTTACCTCTCAAGGTCTCATAGGGAAACTGAGGCCCCAAATAGAAGATACTTGCCCCAACCAGGCTGGTGGCATATGGACTGGGCTCACATCAGAGGAAGCAGCTGGGAACTGGGAAGGATATGCCGCTAGGAGATCTCCCACACCAGGCAGGTAGGACAGCTTGTTGCCCTCCACATCCTCTGCATACATGCTGTCGAAAAGGTAGGAGTCATCCAGGCGCTCAATGAATGCCATCTGTGGGCAGAAACACCTGGGCGTGGTAACAGGGAGTGAGCCCCCCCCCAGCTCCTCTCAAAGGCACAGCAAGGGCCCCCTGGGTAGGGGCTTATGCTAGGCACTGGGACTGGAAGACACATCATGGAGGTAGGGATGCTGCCCTTGGGCTGCATCTTCCTCCTCAGAAGGCTGAGGGAAGGACATGTGGAGAGGCAGAGGATACATCCAGGGGGTGGGCAGACCAAGTTGCAGAGGGGACATCAGGTCCTGTAGATGAAGCAAGATTTACATGATTTCGAGTTCAAAACTGGGGATCCCTGGGGATCTTGGTTCAGTGTGATTGGTGGGCTCTCAAGGCATCTCTGAGCTAGGCCAAGGTTGAGCCGCCCTCTCCAGTGGTACCTTGTGTTCCTCCAGCTTCATCCGCCGGGCTTGCTCTTCCTCCTGCTTGATCTGCATCTGGTTTTCCCGGTGCTTCATCTCATCAATGCTGTACTGGTGCTTCATCTCCGCCATCTTTTTCTGATCAGGGAATGAGAAGTAGCATTGTTACCCAGAAGAGACTTTCATCTGAGCCACAATGACCTCTGCCATCCTGAGGCCTCCCAAGCATAGGAACCCTTGGGTGGGTTGCTTTCGTGAAGGTGGGAAAGCTTTGAGGTCTTGTGGATGAGAATGATTTGTCATTTCCTTATGACCCTTCCCAGATCCTGAGTCTAAGGGGAATCAGGGAACTGGGAATTCACAGAGCTGGGAGGCACTCTAAGGGCCATGTGCTCATCCCTTGTCAGCCTGAACTGCTCCTGGCATGCTCTAGAGAGCACCAGAGGCTGTCCTCCTGCCGAGTCCTACAGTGCCAAGAGTCTAGAGCTTGGGGTGAGCTGTAGCTGGCCCCAGATCTGACAGAATCATGAACAGGAGATTCAGATGCCCCTGGTTTGTGGAACTCTGCTTTCATGATCTTTTGCTTACTATTTATCTGGATGGTTCTAGACAGGTCTCTGAACTGTGGAAGGAGCCTTGGTTTGTTCAAGGTGCAATGGGAACAAGCAGGGAATTTCTGATGACTCAGGAGAAGATACCTGGGAAGGATCTTTGACCTTACAGTGTTAGTCTGTCCTGTATTTGTTTGTTTGTTTAAATATTTTTTTAGTTGTTGATAGACCTTTATTTTTATTTATTTTTATGCGGTGCTAAGAATCAAACTCGGTGCCTCACATGTGCCAGGCAAGTGCATTACCGCTGAGCCCCAGCCCCAGTCCCTGTCCTGTGTTTTTATAATAGGCAAAACATACCCAAGTGGGTCTTGGGCCTATTCCAAGATTTTGAACCCATGCTGCATTTCACATTATTGTCTAAATGAGAAAAATAAGACTTAAGAGTCTTAGAATTCAAAATCCTAAATCTTGTACTGTTGTAGGACAAAAGAAAACAAGCCCATTGGTTGGCTACATATCACAGTGGTAGAGTGCTTGCCTAACTGTTCCATGCCCAGTAAAACACACACACTCACATACACACACACACACACACACACTCACACATTCACACACTCACAAAGGAGAGAGAGCCAACCCGTGGTCTGTGGAGGAACAGCTTTCTGATCCCATGTCATCTCCGCGAGCATCCAAAGAAAGTTCTGGTAAGTGGAGAACATTGCTCTTAGAAGACAGCTTATCCCCTGGGGACTGGACTTTGCCTAATGACCAGATTGCAGAGGGTCAGGGTTGAGAAAGGTCCAGCCCTCCTCCCTACTTTGGATGGCCTTTTCTGGGTGTCCCCGGAATCACCTCAGTATCCCCAAACACAGGTTCCTTTCTTCCAGAAAATGCATCAGTTTTTGGTGAGAAGGAGAAGGCAGGTCAACAACCTTTGATCTCCCAGGCACCCAACATGAAGGGACTTCCTGGTTCTGCCACTCAACAAAATACCCGTAAACAGACCACACTTCACAGAGTATAAGGAGACCCACTCATGGCAGTGAGGTGGATAGGGGCTGTAGTGGACAGAGGAGAGACCCTCCCTAGTAGGGCTAGTCCAGCATAGGGACTTCAGGCCAGGCTGTGCTGCCTGATCAACAGGGGCCAACTCCCAGCTTGACCACCGCTGGCCATGAGACCCCGGGCAGGTCACCCCACGTGTGTGTCAGCAGCTGATGGAAGCTGGGGAGCAGAGCAGGCCCCCCCTCACAGTTTTTATGAAAACAACAAGAAAAAATGCCAAGTGCTTGGCATGCAAAGGCTGGACAACAGTTGGCAATTAGCACTGCTCTGGGAGTCCACACAGACCTGAGGTGACCCTGGCAGATGTAATCGCCAAGCCAGGCATGGTGATACACGCCTGAATTCCAGCAGCTCTGGAGGCTGAGACAGGATGATGTTGAGTTCAAAGCCAGCCTCAGCAATGGTGAGGCACTAAGCAACTCAGTGAGACCTTGTCTCTAAATAAAATAAAAAAATAGGGCTGGGGTTGTGGCTCAGCGGTAGAGTGCTCACCTCGCACGTGCAAGACCCTGGGTTCGATCCTTAGCACCACATTAAAAAAAAAAAAATAAGTGAAATAAAGGTATTGTGTCCAACTACAACTAAAAAATAAATTAAAAAAAAAATAGGACTGGGGGCTGGGGTTGTGGCTCAGCGGTAGATCACTTGCCTAGCACGTGCAAGGCCCTGGGTTCGATCCTTGGCACCACATAAAAATAAATAAATAGCATAAAGATATTATGTCCAACTACAACTAAAAAATAAATATATATATAAAAAAATATAGGACTGGGGATGTGGCTCAGTGGTTGAGTGCCCCGAGTTCAATCCCTGGTACCCCCCAAATATATATATATATATATAAAATTGCCAACCCTCCCCTGAAAAACGGACAAGGGCTGTCAGGTGGCCTTGGGGCAATGTATGGAGAAAGCCTAGTTGCCAGGACACATGGGAAACAGCACCCAGGAGTGTTTTGCTGGAATTGCTCTGACAGAGATAGGTAAGGAGGCTTAGCAAGAGGGCACTGCCTCTTCTCTTCCTAGGTGTGGACATGGGAAGACACCCTTCACTGCCCTGTGAAATTTGGGCTCCTGAAGACTTGTCTCACAGAGCTGGGAGACAGAAAGGGAGAGACTTGCCGCATGGTCATCAATGCGCCGGAAGTCCAGGTACACAAGATCAGGAAGGTAGGCATAGATGAACATTTTGTAATCCTCTGCCTCGGCAATAGGGTTCCCAGACAGGTTGAGTGTCCGCAGGCACTTGAACTTCCGCAGGTAAATGAGCTGGGGGAAAAAGACACCCATCCCCCTTTGAGCCGCCAGAGAGCTGAAAGCGTATCTGGTAGCACCTCTCCTTGGTGCTCTTTTAGGGTGTGCAGCCTGGCATAGCACCTCTCTGCATGGACAGGCAAGGAGGGGCTGGGGCTTCTAGGTTAAACGTTCGGTGAGGCTTTCCAAAGTATCAGTCAACTGGGGCTCCAATCCTAGCTCTGGGACTTAGAACTAAGGCACCTAACACCTGTGAGCCTCAATTTCCTCAACTACAAAAATGGGCATAAAGATATTATATTTTATAGGTCTTGTAAAGAACTAACAAAATAAGCTGTGAAAAGCATTCTTAAGAGTGCCTGACACCTACTCAATAAAGGGCAGTTATAGTTGGGTGTGGTGGGCATGCCTGTAATCCTATCAGCTTGGGAGGCTGAGGCAGGAGGACTGCAAGTTCAAAGCCGGCCTCAGCAATTTAGCGAGACCCTGTCTCAAAATAAAATATTTTTTTTAAAAGGGCTGGAGACGTGGCTCAGTGGTTAAGCATCCCTGGGTTGAATCCCTGGTACCCCCCCCCCCCAAAAAAAAAGAGGCAGTTATAGTTAATACTATTAGTGATCACTCAGAATAGTGTGACTTTTTTGACTGCTAAGTCTTGTGAAAGGTCCAAATCTGTTAAATTAAATGTAATGGTTAGCCTCACAAGCACTGGATAACAAACAATGAGTGGAACATCTCCATTTCCTATACCCTAGTTTGAGTAAAATGGGGGAAAAGTCAGATGATACTTTATGAGATAGCATCATCTGAACATCTAGATGCTGGGCTATGCAAAACATAGAAAAGAAAGCAGTCAACTGTGTTTCTCTGAATTTCCTTCAGTCATTTATTTGTTCTTTTATTTAATAAACAAGATTAAGCACTTAGCAAGCCTCTGGCAGGTACCATAGTAGCTCTGCAGAACAGGAATAAGGCCCATGGGTCCTTGGCCCCAATAGCAATTACAATTTATGTGTGGGTGAAAATATTTTTTAAAAAATACAATCATTAAGGTTTGGGGCAAATGCTATAAGGACTATAAAGATGGCACAATGAGAGAAAATAACAGTGAGAGGCCTTTTTCAGTCAGGGAGCTCAGAGGTCTCTCTGGGGAGATGACATTTAAGCTGAGACCAAGGAAAGCACCTTCCCAGAAGCCAAAACAGTATAAGCAAAGGCCCTGAGGCAGCAGAGAACTTGGCAGTACCAGGAACTAAGCAGAGGCCAGGGTGGCTACAGAATGTTGGGAAGGGGCTAGAGGAAAGGATGTGAGATAAGACTGGCAATAAGATCAGAGCTTGGTTCATGTAAGACCACAGGCTGTGAGCAATGAGATTTTGTTGAGGATAATGAAGTCATTGATGTTTTAAATGCGTATATGGGAAGATAGGATCTGATTTAATGTTTTTTGTTTGTTTTTCAGTACTAGGGATGAAACCCAGGGCTTTGCACATGGTAGGCAAGTGCTCTACCACTGAGCTGCATCTCCAGCCCCCTTTATATTTCATTCTGAGACAGGGTCTCACTAAGCTGCCCAGCCTGGCTTTGAACTTGGAATCCTCCCACCTCTGCTTCCTGAGTAGCTAGGATTAGAGGTATACACACTTGGCCCTGGCTCTGGAATTTTTAAGAGATCTCCCAAATGAGATTCCATTTTTCATGTTTTAGATTAGCATAGAGAAAAGTGTGATAATAAAATGTGTTGTAGATGGTGAGAGGGAACAGGTCACACCGTCATTGCTGGTGGGTCTGTAAATGATTCCACTTCTGTGGAGGGCAATTTGGCAAAGATTCATCCAAATTTAAAATGCATGGTCCCTCTGACCCAGCAATTCCCCTCTAGGAGTTTATCTTACAGATGAACTGATCCAGGTGTAAAGCAACTCTGCTCAAGGACATTCCCTACCTAAGGGCTTTCAGTACAGTACACATGTATTGGCACCAGGTTGAAAACAACCTTGACATTCACATTTAGGGGACTGGAAAAATACATCACATCATGTCTGAGCAATGTAATGATACGGCAGAGAGAGGGAAACGATGACTCAGGAGAAGAGGGGCCAATTGAAGCCAGGTATGTGAAGGGCAGTTGGACGGACATGACAATCATGCACAACGCTTAAGCACAAGATGCCTGGAGAGACTGGTGCAATTCAGAAGTAGGTGTGGCCCCAGAAGGAGAAGCAAGGACCAAAGCCAGGAGTGAGAGGCTCTTCCCTGAGTTCTGCTTAAATGTCTGTGTTTTTAATGCAATAAGCAGGTACTAAAAATAAGTACCTGCAAATACATAAATAAATGACAAAGGAGCAGATAGAACCGATAAGGGCTAAAGAGAAAGATGCTCAGGGTTAGAAGCTAATAATACCTGAGAGTTGTCAGTCAGGACTTTCTGGATCAAGTCAAAAACACCTTATTAGGTACAGAGGATCCAGGGTCCCTAAGGACCCAGGATGCAGCCAGGCCCTAGGAACTTCTGGTCTAGATACCTCAGCAGTCCCTGGCAGCTCCTCCCCATGGACCTTCTGTTTTCCTTTTTCTCTCCTGGGGACCAGCTATACCTGCCTCTTGAATATTCACAAAGGGATCTAGTACCTGGCACCCACTGGGAAAGGGTGATGGGATTTCTTCCTGACCAGGGCCTGCTGGGGCAGGATAGAATACCCTGGTCAAGGAAGGGAGTGAGGCATCCACAGAAGGGCTGGGACCTGTCCACTTCCATTCCCTCTGCACCCTTTAACAGTGTGCCTGATTCTATGGAGGGACAGGGTCTCAGGCTCTCTTATGGTTTAGATGTGAAGTGTCCTCAAAAAGCTCATATGTGAGACAATGCAAGACAGCTTAGAGGTGAAATGATTAGGTTATGAGAGTCTTAACCCAATCAGTGTGTTCGGGCACCGATAGGGATTAACTGGCTGGTAACTGTAGGCAGGCAGGGTGTGGGTATAAGAGGTGGGTCACTGGGGGGCTTGCCTTAGGGTATATATTTTGTCTTTGTTGAGCAGAGCTTCCCTGTTCCCAGCTGTTTCCCTCTGCTACATACTTGGGCTGTGAAGTTCTGTTTCACTTCCCACCCTAAGGAATGGAGCTGCCATTTGTGGTTGGGACCTCTGAAACCCTGAATCCCAAATAAACGTTTCCTCCCTAAAATTGTTCTTGTCAGGTCTTTTTGGTCATAGCAGCAAAAAAAGCTGACTAAAGTAGACATTGTAAGTCTACAATGTCCAAGGGCTAACGAGTTGGAAGGGATTCATTCATACGGAGCCCTGGGCTGTAGGACATACCAAGATAGAAATAGCTGCTAAATGCTCAGAGTTTCAAGCAGCAGGGTTTGGGACAGGGGATGCAACTCAGCAGTACAGCACTTGCACAGCCTGTGTGAATCTTTGGGTTTGATCCCAAGCACGTGGGTAGGGGGAAGGCCTGGGGCTGTTTGGGGGGTTAATCAGCAACCTGAAAATTCCTGAGTAATGATCATTTTCTATACTTAATATGTGCCAGATCCTGCATATAATACTCTCTAATTGATTCCATCTTCACACCAACCACAGGGGATTGGCAGCACTGAGATTTGAACACAGACTCTCAGTCCCTGCTCTATTAACCTGCACCCTCCATGCCTCACCCTGCCATCCCATTGGCCAGCATTTGGGTTTCCTGCACTTACAGAACAGAGGGCAGGCTGGACAGTCAGGACCCAAACCTTGAAAAGGGCACTGGTTGGTTTTAGATCCTCCTGTCTGGTGTGCGGGGCAAACTTTTGAGACTGTACCACCTCTAGAGTTTGGCTTTGCTAGGCAGACTTAAACATCCATCTCAGGCCATTCACCTTGGTCACCCAATCTGGCCATGTCCCAGCTGATACTGGTGTGAGGGTAGGTGTAGGGCCTAAGATGTCCCAATTAGACTGAAAGGACACCAGCTTGAGATTTTTCAAGCTCTCTGTCTAAACAAGGAAGCCTATGACCTTGATTGCAGCAATGAGAAACAGCCTTGGGGAGATGCTGAGAATAGCAGAGCCCAGAGGTGGAAGGAACCTGCATCCTTGAAACCCTGTTGACAAACTCCCCGCTTTGCAGTGCAAATGATCATGTCACCAAATGCCCTTGTTTGTGATGGCTGACCTATGACTTTGGCTGCGGCTGTGACACTCTTGTTGACAGCATCCATCTCATCATTTGCTTTCTGTGTCAGAGAGGTCTCTGAAGTCACAAGCCAGCTCAAGAGCCAGGCAGGGAGGAAGCTAATCCCTGGGGCAAACCTCACTGTTGAGGGGTGGCACTGCAGATCAGTGCCTAAGGCTTCAGCTCTTAAGTGCTCACTTCTGGGAAGCACTCTGGCTCTTTCTAAGACCCAGCAGAATTGAACCCCCATCACCTGCTACAGCAACCTCAGTGACACCCCCCACATTCACTCCAGATTCCTGCAGTCACCTCATTCACTCCAGATCCCCAAATCACTTCACAAACAAACTATCTGTACCTGAATCTCTGCCTTGGTTTCACTTTTAGCCTGTCTGAGACAAAACTCGGTTACCTGCAAGCCAAATGTGCTTTCTGGTGGCACCATCTTGCACTAACCCATTCACATGATCTCCTTCAAGTCCACTTCAAGATGGCAGATTCCCTTCCCAAACGTAAACCTGATCTGAACATATCACAGCAAAAAGTCCTTCACTGCTGCTCCCGATGCTTATCTTGATATTCCTGTCTGCAGTGAGGCCCCAGCTCCCAGGCTCAGCCCCCACCTGCACACACCCTTGACTTCTAGGGACCCTGGGCTCCTCAGGTAGGTAGCCTTTCCTGTGCATCCTGCAGGCAGGCAGGCTTTCCTGACACACCTCCAGGCATTTGCTCATGCTATCCCCTTTTTTTGAGATGCTCTTCCCTTTGCTGGATGGAAAATTCTCATCATTCTCTTTCAGTGAATCTGCATCCAGTTACCTCTCATCCCTTGATGCTTTCCCAGGAAGGATGTCAGCCATGACAGTCCATTCATTAAAAACCTGCTCTAGCCTAAACCTGAATCAAGTGCTTTATGTTTATTCTTATTTGTTTCTCATGAGAGCCTGGGCAGGTGGGCTATGATTACTCTCCACTTGACAGGCAAGGAAACAGGCATGGAAAGCTTGTGCCTCACTGGGTTTAGATCTTCCTGTCTAGCATGCACTAGGAACTGCCAAGACTACATCACCTCCTGGGTTTGGTCTTGCTGAATGCACTTAAATATGGGAAACAACTTGGGCACTTGACCTACCCCAGGCCATGCATCTAAGCTACCCAAATGTGCTATCAGACTGACCTAAGAAGAAAAAGAAGACTTGGAAGGATTCTGGACAGCTGCCAGGTTTGGTGGCCAGGCTGGAGAAGCAGATCAGGGACTGTCTTATAAGGTCACTACTGGTCACCTCTGACATAGGACCCTTGTGGCTACTTCTAGGGTCTCATCCCCAGTCCACTGCTGTAAGCCTATTGTGGGGTATGCTCAGGGAAGCCCACCTTTCTCCTCAGATGACCAATGTCCAGGATTACACAGGCACATTCCTGGCACTGTGGCTTATCCTCCCACTTCCCAGAGGTCTTGTTTTATTGCCCCTAGCTTCTTGTCACCTATGTCTTAATTATGTGGGTGTGTGGGCTAGTTGTCCTGAAGGGACCAAGTCTTGTACGTCTCTGTACCCACGGAGCACAGGACAGTTGGCCCATATCGAGTAGGTGCTTTGCAAATGTTTAAGGTAATATAAGACTCAGAAAGTGACTTCACTGAAGCAGAGATTGCAAACTAGTACCCAGAGATGCATTTTGTTGGGTTAAACGTGGTACTCAAACATTATGGCATCCCTTGTGGAATAACCTGGATGTCTGGTCTTTCCAGGCAAAGGGAGAAATCTGGAACACTCAGCCTGTACTCCCCCTACCATTCCCAGCCTGAGTCCTGCAGGTGCCAGTGAGCATGAGTCCCTGTTTCTGGCCACTCACGTTCATCATGTTGCCAATCTGGTTGTTGCCCAGAGACAGCACCTGCAGCTTGACCAGAGCATCCAGGGAGTCAATCTTGGAGATCCGGTTGTTGAACAAGCTTAGGTCCTCCAGATTCACCAGTGTGTCCAGCCCCTCAATGGCCTCGATGTTGTTGAAGGACAGATCTGGGAAGGGAAGAGGATTCTGAGGGTGTGTTGCCTGAGCTAGGGAGGAACTGTCCTCAGATAAAACCACAGGGGCTACTGAGTGCCAGGAGCTGACTCACCGTCTAACATCATATGGTTCTAGAAGTCTGGTATGGATTCTTCCCTGCAGCTGCATATGTTTACCACCCTCCCCAGTTCTGCTGATCATCCTCTCGGGGATACATCTCTGCTCTGACATAGTCCTGGGATGAACTCTGCTAATTATCAGGTCTAAAGAAGGATACCTTGGGGTCACGGGTTCACAGTTGTGGGTGGCCCTTCCTGACACCCGTGGGCATTTTAGCAAGTCTACCTCCTATCTGCTTAGTGGTGACCTGTTTACCAAGTGTCCATCCTCTGACAACAGGCCTGAAAGGCAGCTTGGGATTTCTGGGCCAAGAGACCTGGACCTGAGAGTCAGAAGACCTGGCTGTGATCTGCTTCCACTGCCTGTGGAAGCAGATCAAGCCAGCCTCTCTGAGCTTCAGTGGCTGCATCTGTGAAATGGCACCATAATCATTGCCTATGCAATTGCTGTAGCTCCAATGGTCAGCACAAATAGAGCTGAGAGTAGTTTACAAATTGGGATATGCACTGATGCCCCAGGTTGCCCTTGTTAGGGAATGTGGATTTGGGGGCCAGACAGTAGTGGGCAAGTTCCTGCTCTTCCACTTCTTGGTTGTGTAGCTCAGGGCAAGTGCCTTGACCTCCTGAGCTTTGGCTCCTCTTCTGCAGATAATAATAGACACCCATCTCCTAGGATTGTTGTTGGGTATCCACCTGCATCATACCAGATATAAGGGACTCCTAAGAAGCCAACAGTTGGACACAGTTCATCAAAACCCCCTGCGGCCTTGGCAGTGAGGGCCAGAGCTCTAGGATCAGATAGAACTGGGCTGGGAGCCTGATGTCCCCACTTGTTCACTGTGACCTCAGTTTGCTCATCTCTGTGATGGGAACACCGTGTGGAGTGAAAGGCCTTAGGGAAAAATGCACAAGCCCACACTTAGCACGCAGTTGAGAACTCAATGCATGCCCACTTCTGCCACTATCACTTGGTCATTTGGCCCCTCTAGGCAAGTTATCTGCCTACCTATATTTAGATTAAGTGGGAGTCCACAGCTGTCCCCTGTGCTCCACCCAGACTGAGGTTAGGCAGGTGGGTGCAGAACGTTCTGTCCTGATGTGGCCAAGAACATCTTTGTCCATACTTTGCCCAGCATAAGCCCCAGGCTTTTAAAAAATAGCTGCTTTCTGCTGTGCCCAAGCTGATGAAAGGTCAGCAGCCGAGTGTCACCCTGATTGTCTCCTGGGGAGGTGATAACCTTGGCAAGGTGTCACCTTTGTCTAACCAGGGCCTTACCAGGCAAGGGCCTTACCCAGCCAGACAAGGTGTACGAGGTTCTCCAGGCCCTCGATCCTCTCGATGATGTTGTTGTCCAGTTGCAGCTTTCTCAAGTTTTCAAACTGCCAGAGATTGTCGATGCGGAGGATGTCTGAAATGGTGGAGGACGGTGCAGCCTCGGGTTAGGGTTTGGTGCCAGCACACTAGGGGACTGAGACAAATCCCTTGCCCTACTCTGGAGTCTGCAGGTATCCTGGAGGTGTGGGCTGAGCATCAAGGACCACTGTCTCCCTATCAGTGCTTAGTGTTGGTGAGGAACAGGACTGTCACTCAGGGTCACAAGAGGACATAGGTCCACTGGGGATGGGACTAAGCAGGGGTCAGTTGGACCTGTCCAGCGCAGGAGACTCACTCACACTGCCTCTGGGTCAGGCTGGGGGCTCCCCCAGGAGGCTGGTCCACCTTGGAACTCAGGCCAAATCAGGAGCACAAGTGGGTTTTCCACAGTGTGACCAATAGAACCAAAGCCTGGGTCTCTATTGGTGGGAGGATTAATCAATCAGTTCTGAAATTGGCAGGGAGGGTCATTTGGCTACAAATATTGAAATATTTAATGTCTATGCCCTTTGCCCTTCAATTTTCCTGGAATCTGTCTCCCAAGACATACCAGAGAAATGCCCATGGGCACGCAAGAAGCAGAAAAATAGAGGAGAACCCCCAATTGTCCATGTATAGTAAATGGGATAAATTGCCCCTAAAACAGAGGCATACTCCATTATTACAGAAGTGCTGGGACCCCACAGTCCCTGAAGACCACCCACCCCAGCTCCGCAGCCCACTTATTCCTTTTGCTATGTCAGCCAGAGTTTGGTTTCTGTCCCTGACAGCCAGAAGAGGTCTGAGAAGCACATACATATAAACAAGTTGATATTCTATATGTGAAATTCTAGAGACTAATCTTGTTCTCCTCCTGCTTTCCCCAGAAGCTACATATAACTCTGTTTATACATCTCTTTTTTCTATATTTGCTTTTGCAGTGCTTTCCAATTATAAGATTACAATATGCTCATTTAAAGAAGTAAAATAATGTAGACATAAGGGTATTTTTTTTAAGTATCCAGGGATACTCAAACAGGGCTGGGAATAATACATTCTGGGAATGCCCAGCATAGTAAGACCCTGGGTTCACTCCTCAATATCACAAAAAATAAAAATTATATAATTAAAAAATACCAATAATCGCACATTTGGGTGGCAGTTTCAATATTTGTTCGTAGAGGCAGGGCCTACTGGTACCAGGTCTTGGAGGGGTGGCCAGGATCCTCGGACCCAGGGCTGCGAGGGCCCACCAGTCCCCTGGAGCTGCATGCTCCCTTCAGCCCCTCTCTTAGGTCCCAGGGCTGGACAACACTGGAACTGTCCATCAGCTGCCTGTTTGTGGCCAGATTTCCCAGACGGCTATCAATCTCCATCCCCACCTGTACTTCCGGGTGGGACCCAGTTCTGCTCCAGGCTCCCAGCTGCCTCCCATCCTCAGTCAGGATTTTCCAGGCACCTGCTCTAGCCCTGATTTTTGGACTCACAGCTGCCCACCCCCATTTTGCCCTTGGCCATGGTGGTTTCCTGCATAGCCACTTCTTCCGGGTGGCTCCTGCAAATCTGGGTGCCCTGCCACAAGCACCTGTGCAGACATTTGCCTGGGTATCGGTAGTTCATGTGGAAAAGCCAAAATGACACAGTGAACCAGGCTGTGTTCCGCAGTTGGCTCCAAATGAGTTACTGGCATGCTGGGGTTGCCGCCGAAGCCAGTTTAATCTTTAACACAGACAGTGGATCCATCGTCATCATTCCCTGGGCCACAGCAGTGGCCATCTCACTAGATTCCTGCTTTTGGCCCTGCAGCCAGCGGGGTCCTGTTCTGTCTTTTGAGAACACAAGTACCATCCTGTCCTGCTTCAGATCGGGACTCTCCCAGGTTCCCACCTCACTCACTGTAAAAGCGAAATACTTTCCACTGGCCCCAAGGCCAACACCAGCTGCCCCCAGACCTCTCTGACCTGTCTCCACAGGGTTTCCTCAGCGGGCCTGCTCAGGCTTGCTCTGTCTGCTCGCCCTGTCTCACATACTTTTGCTAGTGGATCTCCCTCACCTCCTTCAAGTCTGTGCTCAATTGTCACCTTGGCAAGGCCTCTGATCACCCAGAAAGTACTGCACCCCATCCTGTTTCTTTTTTACCATAGCACACATTACCTTTAACATATATTTTCCTTGTTATATTTACTTGTTTCCCCCACTTGAATGTCAGCTCCATGAAGATAAGGCTCTTTGTCCTTTGGGCTCCCAGCTGAAACCTGGTGCCTAGAACAGTACCTGGCACATAACAGGCACTTGCTCAATATCGGCTGAATGAAACTTTAGATGGGGAAGCAGGAAGCAAAAGCAAGGCAGTCAGGTGCTAAGGCCCAATCCTGCCGCAGCCCTTCTACATCTTTTCCTCCTCTCAGAGCTTAGGGGCTACAGTTCACAGCCTTCCCAGCTCTGGGGAGTCATCCCTGGAGGTCACACCCTGGGAGGCCTGTGGGATTTGTGAACCTGGCCCTAGCAGGACCTGTCTTGCCCACTGCTGTGTCCCCAGGGTTTGGTGCAGAGCCCTGCTGAGGTAATGTCTCAATAACTTCTTGTTGACTGGTTGCCTGGCCAGCCCCATGGCAGAGAAAGAATGTGAATCCTGCAAGGTCACTCTACTGTGGCCTCACCTGCACAAAACACAGGGGTCTAGAGATCCTGGCCCACCTCTCCCCTTCCTCTTGCATCTCCTCTGTGCTGACTCCCTGGGCCACGGCTTCCTGGGACATGACTTGCTGGCCTTCCAGCATAGTCTGGGCAGTGTGCATGTCTTGCCTCACTTGTTCCCAGCCAGCACTTGGGAGAGGGAGGACAGGCACCCCATTTCACAGATGAGGTCTCTGAGGCAGTGAGGCTTTGTCTGTTCACCAGCCGTATCTTCTCCCTGGAATATCCTGTCACTACTGAAATGTTTCTCTGCTTCCAGGCCCTATGTCCCTCCTGTTTCCAGTCCCTCTCTGGTTAACCTAGTGCTGGCTCCTCCTCCTCCTCATGCTTCCCACTTTAGCTCCTGGCTATATGGGACCTCCTAAGTTCTGCCTGCCAGGGAGCCCCTACTCTGAGGACACCAGTGCAGAGTTGTGTGACAGAAACAGCGTGGTCTTTGGGGTTTGCTTTGATTTGGAATGGGACAATTTTATCTTTTTTTCTGTTTTTATTCAGAATCAGGGGTGTCATGGATGCTCAAATGATGATAACACTTGGTATGAAACTTTAAATATGTCCATGCTGGGCTGGGGGTGTAGCTTAATTGTAGACTGCTTGCCTAGCATGCTTGAGGTCATGGGTTATATCCCCAGCACTGCAAAAAAAAATTTTTAATGTCCATGCAGCGGGTATAGTTCAATGGTAGCCCACTTGCCTAGCATGCTTGAGGCCATAGGTTTAATCCCTGATACTGCAAATAAATAAATAGACCCATGCTGCTCACATGCCTTGGAATTCAATGAGCCTTAATGCTGGTGTGGGTCTTTTTTTTTTGTACGGGGGATTGAACTCAGGAGCACTGAACCACTGAGCCATATCCCCTGCCCTTTTTTGTATTTTATTTAAAGAGAGGGTCTCACTGAGTTGCTTAGTGCCTTGCTAAGTTACTGAGGCTGGCTTTGAAGTAGTGATCCTCCTGCCTCAGCCTCCCCAGCCACTGGGATTACAGGCATGCACCACTGTGCCCGGCTTAATATGGGTCTTTGGATCATGGACTCTACGTGGAATTCTGGGGCTTTAAGGTAGGGCAGAGAAGGCCACTTGGGTGTCCCCAACCCACCCTGTATCAACCCTAGGCACCCAGGATACGTACTTTGAAAGTCCAGCTGCAGGGACATAACATCTTTGAAGAGGATGCCCTCCTGCTTGGCCAGCTGCCCAGCTTCCTCCCGTGGACCCTGCTCCCCCACAGCCACCTTGAGCATGTCGTCGTCTATCACTCTCGGCTCCATCGAGTCGTACATCCGGTTCATCTTTCCTAAAACACCACATTTCTCTTTCACAGCCTGCCTTTTACTTGTTTGAGGACAGAATCTGGCTGAGGTCTCCTCTTTAGGGGTCAAAGGTCATCAGGGAAGCCATGGACACTTTGAGGGCTGCCAGTCACATCCCTCAGCTTGCTTGTACCTCAGAGATAACACATTTGCAGGAAGGTCACTCCAGGTTTCCCAGCAGCCATCTGAGCCTTTCTGCAGAATTCATTTCTTGACCCCACAACCACAGCTGGGGCCATACCTGGACTGATGTCTACACTGGTCTCCTCAGTCCGTGGTTCTCAGCTTCCCTCAAGGCCATAGCCCCATATCAGGCTTCTGACTTTCCGTTCCCATCCTCATTCAGGTCTCTTAGTGCAAACCACTGACTATGCTCCCTTGGCAGCCCCAGCCAGGTGAGCCAGCCTGCAACGCCCCTCCTCTGAGGAACTCATTCCACACAGGCAGTTGTGTGGGTGTTTCCCAGCCCCTACAAACTGTCCGCCAAGGGAGGTGCTGACCCAAGCTGGCCAGTCATGCTTTCCCCCTGAGAAGTGGGTGCTTTCCCCCTGAGAAGCAGGCAACTCCCTCAGGTTGGAAGTGCTTATTGGATCTGGCTGCTTGGTTAGGGAGGAACTAGGGAGCCATGGGCTGGTCAGACACATGGTTAAGTCAAGAGAGTAAGCGGGGATGTGGTGGATGTACAGAGAGAAGCAGAGATGGGAAATTGCGTAATCCACACGAAAAAGACAAAGGACAGATGGAATCTGCCTTCTTCTTGCTAGCTTTTCAGTCCCTAATGTCCCTAAGTCTCAACCCCATGCAAGTTTCTGTGTCCTTTTTGGAGAGCATTTCCTGATTTCCTGCATTAAATCCTCTTTAACGTAAGCCAACTCTGGTAGGTTTCTTTTTTAAAAATTTTATACACACACACACACACACACACATTTAGTTGTTGATGGACCTTTATTTTATTCATTTATTTACATGTGGTGCTGAGAATCGAACCCACTGCCTCACACATGCTAGAAAAGCATTCTACCACTGAGCCCCAACCCCAGCCCTCTGGTAGTTTTCTGTTGCTAATGGTCCAAGGGTTTCTATGAGACACTGCAGGCAGAGGTGGGGGATCCGAGGATTTGGTTAGTCACATTATAAAACTGACCTGGATTGCTATTCCTGGCTGGACAGAGCTACAGTCCTGGGAATCTGGGGTGCCCTGACCTCATTATCATCATTACCAGCCTCTTAGTGAGAACCACTAATAGGACAGGGCCCTGCAGGAAGCTATGCCCTCTTTCAGTCTACTGAGATTCTGCCTCTGAGCCCTCTGGAGGTCCAGTTCTCTCCTCCTCTCTGCTCCCACCTGCTTCTCACCTCCCTGGTGAAATCACCTTCTACCTGTGCCCACGTGCCTCCCCAACATCCAAGGTATCCCTGAAACTCCTGCTCTCCCACCCTGATGCTAGGCAGCCCCTCTGCTCTGCTCCTGATATTAGACTGATGATGTCCACCATAAACCCTGATTAGTTGGACAAATCTGCCACCTGGCCTTAGACGTTGCCTGCAAAGTCTCCCTTCCCTCTTTCTTCTTCTACCAGCTACTTGGACGCAGCTTGGGTAAATGGAGTATCCTCCACTCCTGTAATGTCCCTGGTCAAATATCCTAATGCCTTCAACTCACGCACAGCCTTTCCTTCTTCCCTAGGGGTGGAGGTAGGGGAGGTGGGGGAGACACAGACTCTATAGCCCCCACCCACACTCTGGTGTCTTCTCCATCTGACCTTCCAACCATCAACACACTGGCTTTTACTCTAACTCTCTCCACACTGGTTCTACCTCCTCAGGGTGAATGATTCAACCTCCAGTGATGTTTCTAGCCCTTGTCTCTCCTCTCTCTCTTTCTAGCTTTTCACTCTTCTGAAATGGTTTTCAAATTACTTGCTAACAATTTATTTTAGGAAATTTAAATGTACTGTGTTTGTAAATGTTACTTGCAAAGTATTTTAGGCTTTTTTTTTTTTTTTTAAAAGGGCTGCTTTACTTCAGGAAATAAACCATAATTCTGATGTCAAAACTTTGTGACTTCTCAGGCTGGGATGGTAGCTCAGTGGTAGAGTGCTTGCCTAGCACATGTGAGGCACTGGGTCTGATCCTTAGTACCACATAAAAATAAATAAATAAAATAAAGGTATTGTGTCCATCTACAACTAAAAAAAATAAACAAACAAATAAACAAAAAAAAACCCCTCTTTGACTTCTCATCCCTCTTACTTCATCAAGAGCTGGTTCTTGGGACAAATCAAGCATGCTTTCAATCAAGCCCAGAAACTGCTATGCAATGAGGGATTAAACTAACTAGAACACCAAGGGCAGGATTTGGATTCTGACTGTGTCTCCTTTGGCAACTCCTTTCACTGGCAGAAACCTCTGCTTTTCAATCTGTCAAAGATGTATAATTCCTCTCTCCTATGTTTTTGTTAAGACTATGTGTTGAGTCCACCCATGTCTCCTGAATAACTACTACCTACCATGAATAACAGATCATCTTACCGCTGTTTTAGACATGAAACAAGTAATCATACAAATATTTAGTTATAAATCATGAAAAGTTTGTAGGTGTAGAGAACTACAAAAGCATACATTAAGGGAAACCTGGCCTAACCAAGAAAGGGCTGAGATCTGAAGGACCAATAGGAAAGAAGGGAGAGGGAACTGCATGGGGAGGGCTCTGAGATGGGAGAGAACAGGCATGCTCCACTTTGTCTGATATGATACAAGCTTGGAGAGGCCTGTAGGAGTTGTATTATTATCCTAAGGCCCTGAGAAAGCTCATAGGGCTTAATAAGGGCAGTGACATAATCAGATTTTAATTTTAAGGATTTCATCCCTAGAGGCAGTACTGAGAATTGCAAAAGTGGTGAGGTTAGAGATGACCAGGGATAGCGCTAAGATGTGGATTTGAGACATTTCTAGTTAATTTATATGTACGATTGATAATCCCCAGTTTCCAGAAAAGAAAACAAGCTAGTTAAGCTGGGTGTAGTGATGAATGCCTATAATCTCAACAACTCAGGAGGCTGAGGCAGGAGGATCACAAGTTTAAGGCCCGTCTGGGGAACTTAGTGAGACACTGTCTTAAAATAAAAAGTGCTAAAAATGTAGTTCAGTGGTAGAGCATCCCTGGGTCAATCCCTAGTACTTCCCCACAAACACAAAGAAAGAAAAGAAAGCAGGGAAAAATAAAAACAGAAGCTAGTTAGAAAAGCCAATTAGTATGCCAAAGTTTATACATCTAGAATATGGCAGAACCTATTTTCCAAATCATGGCTCCACTGTACCCAGGTTACTAGGGATTATTATTGCCATAATTCACTACGTTTCTCCCAACTGCTCTGGGTCAGAGACAAAGCCCAAACAGTCCTCCCCTATAGGGATTTTATCAGTAATTTACCACCCAAACTGGGTCCCCGTTGAATTACCTAATGACAGTGTTGTTGGTGACCAACACAGGTAGCAGGTGGGGACGCAGCAGTTTTTACAAACCTGTCAATGAAGTGATCTCCTCACAGAGAAATGGATCCGGATTTTCCTGGGAAACAATAAACTGGATGAATTAAATCTGAGGAGTAGAGACCTTATCAGCCATGAATTAATAAGAAGAAAACCAACCTCCTACTGAGTACTTAATGTGCATTCTGTGCACACAAATTATTTAATTACATGTCAGTTTCAGAAGTTATTAAAGAAGGGAGTCCTATAGTGCTCTTATTTCCCAGATAGGGAATCTGAAGCCCTGAGAGTGGGAGGAACTTGTCCAAACTCATACAACAAATTACTGACAGACATAGAATTTGAGTATCCATATTCCTAGTCCAAGCACTTTATACTGCACCAAATAAACTAACTTAATGAGATTTATGAGGTAGGATCCGATAGCTAAATTCTGGAATAAGTTATCAGTGGATCTGGGTGAAACAGTTAATCTGTTTCTAATGAAACAGATTGGGCAGGAGGCTGGGGAATGGAATCCCTTAAAATCCTTTCCGACCCTTACTCCTTCAAGAAGCACTCCCTTAGCAATTTCTCCTCTGAAGACCTGAAAAGTCCACGATTAAAGTATCTTAGCTGTCTGGTAGAGAACATGTGTTCCTATTTTACAAATGAAAAGGGCCAAGCCGGAATCCTTAGAGAGAGGGGTCACAGTCGGCCGCTCTCGCCCCTGAGGGTCCTCATGGAGCCTCAATTCCCGGGTCTCACCTTCTCAAGCACCAGCTATCGGGCTAGTTCCCTGCAGCAGAGGCGTCTCTCGGTTGCTGGGGAAACAAGCGCCGCCACTCGGTTGCTAAGAGGAAGCAGGAGGTAGACATCCTGGGTGAAAGTTGACGGGTCACGTGATCACGTGTCTGGGTGGGAAATACTCCAAACACCAACCAGCCGTAGAGAAAACAAATGTTTCTCCAATCAGCACTACGGTGGGCGGGCAACTCCCTAGGTCCACCTCTTCCCCATGTCTGTTTTGAGTGATTGACTCATATTTTGTCCAATAACAGTAGGATTTACCTAGATTGACCAATTTACAGATGAATCAAAAAATACAGCCCCTGTTTCGGAGGCGGGCCAGGGGAGGTGCCGCTACGCCTGACGGGGACTCCAATGACCTAGCTTGGTCCTCGACCCAATCAGACTCCGTTTGGTGGGCGGGACTTCGATGAGGGCGGTGTAAAGGCCAATCGGAGGGAAGACTGTGGAGGTGTTGTCCAATAGAGACACGATAGGAGGGCGGGGCTAAAGGCCCGGCGCTCGGCGTTCTGGAGGGTGGGGCGGGGGCAAGTGTCAGTCTGGTTGGGAGCGCGGCTGGGGACAGCGGAGACCGCGGCGGCAAACAGGGCGTCAGCTGCCGTGTTGTCGGCCCAAGATGGAGTTCCTCCTGGGGAACCCGTTCAGCACCCCTGTGGGGCAATGTCTCGGTAAGGCTGCGCTTGCGGCGGACGGCTTGGGTGGGCGGCTGACCGGGCTGGACCGCGGGCCTCTGCCGGCTCCTGTGGCACCTCACAGGTGGACCAAGCATCCTTGTTGTTGAATCTCTGCGGGGTGGCGATGCTTCCTCACGTGCGGGTTGGATCTCTTCCAGGAACCGGTGTCACCTCTCGGGTGGACCTGGCATCCCTGTTGTCGGTCCTCTGCCTAGCGCTGGTGCCACCTCACGAGTGGGCCGGCCGTCCTTGTCGTCCAGCTTCTGTCTGGCGCCAGTGCCACCTTGCCAGTGGGCTGGGTCTCATCTGGGCGCCGGTGTCACCTCATGGGCAGAGCAAGTGTCCGTCCTTCTCTTGGGGCCTCCACCTGGCACTGGTGCCACTTCACCGGGCCACCTTCCAGGAGGCCCCTGAGGCCCAACTTGGACCCAGAGACTCTCCCTGCCTCCCTACCATCAGAGCCTAGCCCTTCTTTCTTTCCTGAGGTGGTACCAACTGCTGGTCTGTTTACCTCTCACCTATTGGGAGATGCCACTGCCTTATCAAGCCCAGCATCTTGCTGTCCCCCGCCCCCACCACCCTGCAAGGACCTGGTTTTCCCAGACCTCCTCTTTCCATATGTCTCCCTTCTCTTTGATACCTGCGGACTCAGACTGTGCACCCTCCCAGAAATTGCCCCCTGCTCTGAGACTTACTAATTGGAGCTGCAACTCTATTAGGATGTAGGAAGAACTGGTTGGGGGAGGGATTCTTGGAGGATGATTATCTTTTAAGCGGGGTGGCATGGTGCCTCCCAGGAAAGAAGGGAGGCTGTGTTGTTTAATGATAAGAGCACTCCATTGGGAATCAGGAAACCGGCACTCAACTAGTGGCATTGCCAGTGATTCTTCCTATGACCCTGTGCCCTTTGTGGTTTGAAGTTCCCCTGTCTGTAAGGTGAAGTGTTTGGAGGTGAGATGTGATAGGTCCCTTCAGATTTCAAAGTTTTGATATTTCTTGTAGTAGTCTCTGCACATTGATTGTTGTTTCCCCTGCTATATTAAATTTTCCCAAGTGGAACCTTTTGTTGTCACTATACAAGAGAGTGATCCTACTCTACAGTATCTGTCAATCCTATAAGGGGGCTTTGGGGACCCAGTCAAGGGTACCAGAGTACATCCCGGATGGAGAAAGCACAAAGTAGGTGAAGGAACCCTAAAGTGGCCACACTATGGGATTTTCTTACAAAAAACAAAAGCAGCTTGCCTCCTGAGGATGTCCTTCAGCAGTAGAATGTGTGCTTAGCCTTCGTTTCCATCCCCAGCATGGCAAAAATAAGAGTAATAATAATAAATAAAATTAAAAACAACTTGTGCCTTTTCACTCAAGGCAGGAGCTTATGCCAAGTGATCACTCAAGAATGCTGATTAGTTTCTTTTAAAATAAGGTTCCACCCAGTTGGTTGAAGGACTGGTAAAACATCTTTTATGAACAGGGACCTTTGGTGTCCGTATGAGCCCGACTGGTTTAGGCAGTAGTGATTTGTTTATTTCCTGCTTTATGAATTTCCAGCTTACTTTCTAGCCTTTACTGGGGCCAGTAAAGTTAGTGAGGCCTCTTCTGTTAGCTATTTGACATTTAGGAGCTTTTCTTTCCTTTCTGATAAAGTATCTTTTATGAAGAATTGCGGACACTGGGCCTTGAAAGAGCTGTTTCCCACAATTCCAACACTTTGTCCCAGCTGCCCACTTGAATGTCTCTCTGGATTTTCACTCCTTTCTTCTTCCTCTTTTACTTTCCTACTTTCCTCAGGTGTTCTTTCACTGCATCCATATTCCCAAGATTCATTTCTCAGTTGGGTGTTGAATTCTAGCTAGTTATGGAGGGAACCAGTAAACTTGGGGGAATTTTTTTTTCTTTTCTTCTCTCTTATAAGAGGAAGTTCTATATCTTTAAAATGCCAAGGTGGTTATGAAAAGTAGCATGTAGATGAGAGGAAGAAATTAAAAGGTACTTTCAATTAAAACTTTTTGTGATGCTGGAGACTGAACCTGGGATCTTCAGCATGCTAAGCAAGTACTCTGTTACTGAGTTATACCTTATCCCAAAGAGGATTTTGAAATATAAGTATAAAGGGGCTGGGGTTGTGGCTCAGTGGTAGAGCGCTTGCCTAGCACATGCGAGGCCCTGGGTTCAATCGTCAGCACCACATAAAAATAAATAAATAAAATAAAGGTATTGTGTCAAACTACAACTAAAAAATAAATATTAAAAAAATATAAGTATAGAGGATAGAGGGATATGTAGTGAGTGAAAAGAGCATGATACTTCCATGAGGAAGATCTGAGTTAAATTTTGGCTTTTCTCAGCTGTGTGACCCCAGAAATTGTGTAACCCTGCTGAGTCTTAGTTTGTCTATCTGCTGCGGGGGGGGGGGGGGGGAGGCAGGGGAGAGGGATATTTGTACTCACAGAGTAGGGTAATTTATTTTTTAAATTTTTAAAAATTTTTAATTTTTTCCACATTTTTATTGGTTCATTATAGTTATACATAATGATGGAATCTGTTGTTATGTATTCATACATGCATACAATAATATAACAATATAATTTCGTCAATCTCAATCCCTAGCACTTCCTCCAGAATAGTACAATTTGAACGAGATGATGTCTAGAAAACTTTAGCATTGTATCTGGAACATAATAAATGCTCAATAAATTACAATTTTCTCTGTTAACAATAGAATGAGTCAGGACTGAATTTTTTTCCAGGAGAGGGTATGTGATACAACTGGCCCATTGGTGATGTGTGAAGAAAAATACCCTTCCAGTGTTCACTATTGTTTATAAGACATTTGACCATGAAGATGATGAAAATTTACTGTTGTCAGGTAGCCAATAGGCAAGGTCTCAGTCATTTCAGTTCGATTCCAATAAATTATTAGCCCACAGAATAAAGTTCTGATGTATGTTCTGTACTGTTGTGACTAAGTGTAAAAATGATTTTCTTGACATTTAGTATTGTTAGTATTTTTTAAAAAGTGTGTGCCAGGAAATGGGTAGGAGGGAAAGGAATATAGAAATAAAATAACAACAAAGCCAATGAGAAAAATAATTGTAGCTATAGCTTGCACAAAGCAATCCTGCAGCCATCATTTGCTCCTTTTAGATCTTCTATGGATAAGTTTTATTGTCTTTCCCACTTTAGAGTTGAGGAAACTGAGGCTCCGAGAGGTGAAATGACTGCTTAGCTGGTAAAAGAGCTGGGATGTCATACATGGCCCTGTTATCAAGCGATTTACAGTTTCAGACAAGAAAACAGATGCATGGAATGATGATATAGTACAGATTATAAGTGCAGTAGGAGTTCAGAAGAATTCAGATGAGAGCCGGGCATGGTGATGCATGCCTGTAACCCCAGCTACTTGGGAGGCTGAGGTAGGAGGATTACAAGTTTGAGGCCAGCCAAGGCAACTTGAAGAGATCTGTCTCAAAATAAAAAATAAAAATAGGACTGGAGATGTAGCTCAGAGGTAGAGGGTCCTTGTGTCCAATCTCCAGTACTGAAAAGAAAAAAAGTGGAATTCATATGAGACTGGGGTGACAGGGACTGGTTCCTTTGGGGGCTGTTTGTGAAGGATAGGCAAGAACTTTGAAGGCTGAGAAGAGAATCCCCTGGGCCTGGGGGCAGTTAAATAGGATGAGAAAGAAAGGGAAAGTAGGGGCACATCTAGGATCACCAGTCTGAGTGGAGCAGAGGTGGCTGTTGGTAATATTGGCAAGTAGGGTTTGAGTGACAGGATAAAGCTCTGCTTTGGATGGGACACATAAAGATGACATTCTTTCACTTGCTGCAACTTTGACTATGTGGACCTTGTTTTCTCCACGCATAAAATAATACTTCTCATGAGCTGCCTCAGATTTGTACCTAAATAATTCTTCTATATAGTTCAGTAGGGTATTCATGAGTACTTGTTGGGTGCCAAGGCCTGTGCTAGATGCTGGGGATGCAAATGTTAAAAAGCAGCTCCTTGGGAACCTTGAATAGAAAAAGTACCGTGACCATTGAAGGGTCCTGGGGCAGAGTAGTTGGTGAAGTGATTATGACTGTCTCATGCCTGAGCTTTACATGGGGGTTTTAACTTGGTGCTGTGAAGTCAAATACATAGCCTGCACATCTGAAGCTAGCCACCTAGACCACAGTCTGACATAGTTATTTGTGCATTTATCTTTCTTCTTTTTTTTTTTCCCAATGCTGGGTATCAAACCCAGTGCCTCATGCATACTAGGCATGTGTGTATTTGTTCTGGAAGGTGATTCATGAGTAGAATTCATGGTTCAGAGAGAGAGAGAGAGAGAGAGAGAGAGAGAGAGAATATATGAATGAACGAGAATGCAATGGTGTTAAAGGCTAAGAAGTGTGGAAGAAAAGAAATTACTTAAGCCAGGTATGGTGGTGCATGCTGTAATCCTAGCTACTCAGAATGCTGAGACAGGAGGATCACAATTTTTAGGCCACTCTGGGTAACTTAGCAAGATCTGTCTCAAAATAGAAGTTTTAAAAAGAGGACTGGGGATATAGCTCATCAGTAAGCTCTTGCCTGATATGCATGAGTCCCTGGGTTCAATCTCCAGCACTACAAAAACAAACTGACAAACAAAGTACTTACTTTAATTTCTTGATTTTGTACTTCCCGAACAAGTTTCAAAATGTTACTGTCTAATCTCAACCTTCCACCACCACATTACAGATCAGGAGTTCCCCAAGTTAGGTCCAGGGTACTGCACAGAGGTCTGCTGCTTTCCTTGTGATGACTGGAAAAAAATTTTCAGATATTCCTTTTCCAAGAGAAAAAAAAATGAGATTCATTTGGATTCAGAAGTCAGTGAGTATTTAGTTAATATTAGGGGAGATGGGTCATTTCTCTTCTTAGTTCTGCTTTATCAACATTTAAGAAGCAGATAACCTGTTGCAAAGTTTGTATTTGGAGATTGAATGGTGTTAGACATAAACTA